GCACATAAATTATTATTAGTGTCATGTACGGAGTATTATATTTTGCCCCAAATATGTCGATTAGTTAGGTAAATGTTGATCTAATGATCCCAAACTTCAATTATCCAACCAAAGAGTTTGGAACATAATAATTTGATCACAATTCTTTATAATAAAATTTCATTCTCAAAGTTTAACCTTAAATTTAATACGATATAATGATATTTCATTCCCAAATTCTTACAATCCATCGGGGTACTTACTAGTGTGTAGTAGTCATTTTACAATCAAGAGCATCTACAAGGCTTTGGTCCAGGATTTTTCTGTCAATGTATCCTGCCTTCCTACTGCTTATTTATTTCGACAAAGAAAAGTTGAATCTTTCACACCCTAGTGGCTAGTGCAATGCAAGGTTCGTATGAACAGATTCTTACACCTGTGTGCACATCATAGCTTTGTTGAATGGGTGATGCAGAACTTCCGCATTCTTGAGAAGAGTGATATTTGTACCCTTGTGATATTATGCTTGTACATTTGGCTGGTTAGGAATGACAAGTTGTGGCGAAACACTTCTACTCCAAATGGTTTTACTGTTAAGTGAGAAAATCCCTTCCCTAATTGGCTTAAATTGATCCAGCAGTTGATGGGGATGGAGGAAGAATGGGACTAGGCTGGATTCTCCAAAAGAAGCTGATGCAGTTAACAAAAACTAATGCCCTCCTGGTTGTGCAAGACTTGAACTATTTTTTTTTTTTTTTTTGATCAATGCAAGACTTCAACTATGTTTTAGGGGAAACCTCTTTTGATTTAATTTTGCTAGATACCAAATATAATTTGTGTATATTTACTCATGTAATTATCTCTTTTGCTAAGAGATTTGCCAATTGGGCGGCCTTGTCCATCTTTGAGACAGATTGTAAGGAGTGGTCTTCTCAACCGCCTCTTTTTCTTTGTAATGTTTTGGTGGAGCCGTGGAGGATATTAATTGCGTTCTGAAGTGGTTTATATTTCCAAAAAAAAAAAAAAAAAAAAAAAAAAAAAAAAAAAAAACATGACTTGTCCCAGGTAAAATTTAAATTACAACATCAGTCAAACTTGCATATCACATACAATACCGTGCCTTTACCTCTCACATTTTTTCGTCATCATCTTAACGTTGCGCTGGGTTGCTTCCTCTGATAAAGGAAGCCCGGCGTTCACTGCCAACAATTACATCTTTAAGCCGTGATAGGGGACCAAGCATCCTGGACATCCTCTGTAAATGCAGACAAATAAAAGCATCACAGGTAGAAGATAAAAGGCAGACCTAACAGACTCCCTTATCTATTACTCATCATACAGCTGCAACTACATTTTTCAAAAGCAAATATATCATTGTATTACAGAAACAAATCAGAAAAACCTACCAGACCAGATCCAAGAATACACTATTTTATCACTATATATTTCTAACATGAAGAATCTGTTGCTCTTCCCACATTCAACAAATATGTTGTCAAATTGCTCAAAAAATGAACCAATTGGGGGAAGAGAGAGAGAGAGAGAGAGAGGGGGGGGGGGAGGGGGGGGGGGTAAATATAGAGTGGAGGTGTTTAACTGAATAGTACTCAATTGTGTACGCTAACTGGACAACAGCATATCATTATAAATTTTTGAATAATTAAAATCAATACACGCTGTTATCAAAAAAAAAAATGATAATAAAAAAAATCAATACACGCTAGTAACTCAATCAACATACCTCACTGTGGACTCCAAGCTGCCACTTCAGCTGCAGGACATGTAACCTCTCATGCTGCCAGCACTTACCAAGAATCACAAGGCCCATTACAGCTGCAGCCATGCAAATCGACCATAATGTGTTTGCCTCTTTAGCATGTGCAATAAGAGAAGTTGCATGCCTTTTCCACCAAGCTTGACAAGGAAGGCCATCTCTGTCAGGCTTGTTCTCATCCATAGCTTTTGGAGAATTTGATATATCTGAATCAGAGATCTGCTGAAGAGACTCAAACGGATCATTGGTTGCACTACTTTCATCCAAGACGATTGAACCAAGCATGTGCTCTTCACTATGTAAGGAACTATATGCTGCAGCACTATATAGACTTGGTTCCTTATCCACCAAATTTAACCCTTGCAAAACTGCATCACCTTCAAATTCTGCACCACTAATAGATAACCGGTTACCGTTTTCATCAAATATCTGTATCCCAGAAAACTCAGGAGAGCTCAATCCTTTACTTTTCAGATACTCTTCATTCTTCATGTCTGCCATACTACCTTCTGCAGAGACAAATTCAGCCTCTTTAACCACCTTTTCAGTAAGAATCTCATTGTTTTCTTGTTTCAGTGACAAATTCTCATGCTGGCTTGATGGAAAGACAAAGTGACCAGACATAAACAATGTACTGGAAGTTTCAGCTTCATACTCCCCACTATCTTTATGCTCATCATTTGCGTCCTCTTGTTTGGAACCAAGAGCAGCAGCATATGCAGATGCAGTTAGTGATACAACCTCCCACTCATTTCCACGGGCAGCAGTCTCTTCAGTGTCCTCATTACTCGCCATTAATAGGAAAGCCTTGCATGCCCAATTGAATATCAAAATAAGAGACTGAATAAGCTCATAATATGTATAAAAATAAATAGCATACATCAATTTCAAGGCTAATGGTAAACTGGAAGTGTGTATTCAGTGCCATCTTCCATGACAATCTGTGCATTTAGACCTAAACAAGATGAAGAATTAACTTAAAAACATCTGCCTTAGACTGCCAACTAAGTCGAGGCATGTTATTCTACATCATTCAGGTGCAATACCAGCCATTTCTGTCAAGAACAAGGAAGTCCAACGGTGTCATGTTTACCAAATCAGTGAAGCTCTACATTATTACTCTACCAAATTCATCCTTCTAGTTTCTTTGACCACCAACTAAGCCCTAAAAGCTACGAAAAACACTCTGATTTGTTATGAAAGCAAGAGAGAATCCAATAGTAAAACGGAGTAATAATAACAACAACAATAAACCTACATAAACGAACACACATACTCGACGCATGCGAGGTACTTGTATCCACAGTTGTACACACAGACACCTGCATATACCTGTTATCTGTATCCGCTCATAAAAATATACGGATTCTATAGAATCGGACACAGAAATGGATCCAACACTTCGATGAAGCAACATATTAATCGGAAGCAAAATAATAAGAAATTGAAGTCTCCAGATGATCAGATTATCCAATCAGATATATCAACAAAAAGGATACACAAATCTAATTAAAAGAGAGGATTACGAAGTTGTACTTACAGAAGTGAAAAGCAGAGAGATCGGAGCTCCGGTGAGGAGTCGAGAATGATTGGAAACTGTCTCGAAGAACGAGAGAGAGAGAGAGAGAGAGAGAGAGAGAAAGATTTATATAGTGGGAGATTTTGGAACAAGAGATAATGGAACCGGAGTAGCCGGTCATGGTGTCGTGTTGAGAGTTTGAGACTGTAGTTGAGGCTTTGATGGGAAAGCAGGAAACCGTTTTACCGGCTGGGAAAGGAACGGCGTCGTTTACTGCTCTATGGGCGAAGGATTGCCGCCAGTCTGTTGCTGTTGCTTGCGTGAGGAGAGAAGCATCAACTTCTACGGCTCTACGTGATAAGCAGCGTCGACGTGGACGGACGAAGCTTAAGTAATACTCACGTTTATTTTTCGGTTTATATTTCATTTTTCAATCGGATTATCTGACCTATCAAGTAACTTGTAGCAATATGATCCTCTTAATATGTAATTTAATACATATCATTTATATAACTTGTTTACTACCTAGATATTTCGAATTGCTTAACAACAAATCATCTCTAATACTTTCAAATATTATCATGTCATAACAATCTCAATAAACCAATTCCACCACAGTTGACCTCAACCAAGACTAGACTAAGGCCTAGCGAGTTTTCGGTTGGAACCAATGATTGAGCTAGTAATTACATATTTATCCCATCAATAATAATACTTATTCTTTTTTAAAAAAACTTGTAGTAGAATCAACCAATTCATTTTATAACTAATAAAATATACATAATACATTTATTATGATTGATCATTTTCTATTTTTCTTCAACCATGAGATTCTATTCACTCTATTGTATAATGAAACTTCAAAGGAAAGCCCAAAAGATCAGAGGAGCAAGAAAAGAAACAGAAGGTCAAGAATAAACTTGCTATTTGAAGCAAATGCTACATGATATGTAACTATGCAGATCACCATTTGTATCTGTTGTTCATTTTCTCATGAACCCAGATATGCTAGCTTATGTACCCAGATAACAGAGAGACAGTTGAAAGAATATGGATGGAATTGACACTGCCTGCTAGCTGCTGCCTAGTAGTCTGAATCAGAATCGTCATCGTCACTAAACTCATTATCACTCAACTCCGCTTCTAATCCAGCTTCACCATCTTCAGCTTTGGCATATGTCTGACAGTATTCTGGATGCCCAAAGTGTATACCCGTCACACACAATTCATAAAGAATAAGCACATAAATGCGTACGCTTACCATATCCAATTATAGTAATTAAATGAAGTACTAAACTTCCTAGTGCATTCAGTTCATTTCCAAGAATGCTAATATATATGGATATAAAGCCCACAGACATACTTAGCTTCAGCTAAGATGATGAATAGATGATACTGATGGCCATGCATATAGTTCAACAGCAATCTTAAGGAGTTATTAAGAATGCAGAACCTCAGAGAACACCAAGACCTTGTTTGGTAAAATAGTTAGCCTATCAGCCAATTTTGGCTTATTTGGTCATTATTAGCTGTTTGATTTGGTTAAACAATCAATATGAGTGTTTGATTAATTAGCTTTTTGTAACAACCTATTTCTCCAAAATGTTAAAATTCAAAAAGTTGTTCAAAGTAGCTTCTTGAGAAAGTCATTTTGTATGTAATCAGCTATTAGCTAATTTACCAAACACTTTTCTACAATCAGCTAATGTTATCAACTAGTCAAACCCATTAACCCAATCAGCTAACAGACATTTACCAAACACCACCTAAATCTTTTCATAGATTTGTTTAGTTTTATTCTCCTGATGGACATGCAAATGGTTCATTTGAGTAAACTGTCAGAAATTGTCAATACCTTTAACTCTTTGTTCATACGCATCACGGTCTTCCATCATTAGAGCACCTGCCTCCCTATTCAATGGATCAGATGGGTTCGGGTACAACAGAAGTTGCGGTAGAAACACTTCAAATACATTCACCAGATCTGTATATAGCATGGATGATTGCAGAACTATCAAAACAAGACAGTTCAAGAATCTTATTCATGGATCATACACGAAGTAGGAATTCTCTTACCATACATTGGACTCCAAGCCTGCTTGATAACGTCCAAGCAAACCGAACCTGATCTGAAAAATTACAAACCACTAAAGTTTCAGCATATTCTCAAAACAATTAGCAAAACTAGTAAATTTCTTGACTGGAGTTTTTCACCTCTCATTAACATTCGGGTGATAAATTTTATTAACGAAAGCTATAGATGGAGATACATAGGGATATGCATCTGGAAGTCTCACCCTTATCTTCCAAACACCACCTTCATAAAGACCTGCCACAATTATTAGGAACATTAGCGAAATCAAAAGTCCAACACTATGTTGCCATGTACTTACTAGTTTCACAACCATAAGCAATCTTCTTCCAAATTATATCACGTCAGAGCCTCAACTTATCTACCAAGGTGAACCCGGGATGGATGTTTGTTGTCACTGTAAATGAGCATTGGTTTTGAACCAAATGTTCAACCTTATAATGATGTTCATCACTGTTGAACTAAATATTATAAAAACTACTATAGATATGTAAGACAGGCTTAATATATACCAATACATAAGTATATACCAATAATCATATAAAAGCAATCTTCTTCTGCAACTATAAACATGCATTGAGTTTAAGCTAAATATTCAACATCATAGTAATTTTAAACATGTATGAACAAAACAATATCAAAGGCTCAAAGCTCATATAGATATGTGAGATGTGGTCTTGTAATATACCAATACATATATGTATAGCCTCACTGTTAGCTTAAACTTTTAGTTAGAGACGAAAAACACCTTCAAACCTTCAATCATAGTAATTATTGATGAGGCCTTTCTTTATCCTAATAGGAAAACAAGAATGGAAAAAGAAAACAATAGAAAGCAAAAAAGGACACCATACCCCAGCACAAGGTAGTCTTAATTATTATCCTAATAATTTATAAATCAGACATTTATGAAATATCAAGGAAGGAGTACTATTTTACCTAAAAGAAGTGAAAAGAAAAAAGGCTGAAGATATTAGTTGTTTGACTTGGTTAAACAATCAATATGAGTGTTCGATTAATTAGCTTTTGTAACAACTTATTGTGTCAAAATGCTAAAATTCAAAAAACTGCTCAAATAAAGTTTTTCAATTAGTTGTTTGAGAAAGTCATTTTGCATCATTTAACTAATTTATCAAACATTTTTCTACAATCAGTTAATGCAATTAACTAGTCAAATCCATTAACTCAATCAGCTAAAAGCTATTTACCAAACACCCCCTTCATCTTTCTACTGCCCCTTCAAGAATCCAATCAGAACATGAATTCCAGGTTTTCAAGAGATTAAATCAAGAAAGACCCAGAGCATAAAAATAAAATAAAAATCAAGATTAAAAATAAAAATCTTCAGTCCAAGTGAGAAAATATTAAAGCTTGAGGTAAGGATAAATATGATTTACTATCAATGGGTCCATGGAAATGCACAAAGAACTCATGCAGGCTGTCATTTATCATCTCCACCTGGAAATCACTCATCATCCTAATCCAACGAAAAGAAAATCATACCAAGTTAACAAATTCAGCTAAAAAAAATCACAAAAATTAAAGCATAATAATGGGATGATCAGAAAACTAACAGCTTCATCAAGTCTGTATCTCTGCGTTTGTTTGGGGAAGCCATGAATTTTTCTCTGGTCTCAGACTTTTCTTTTTCTCTTTTCAAAATATTTGGTCGGTTCTTTCAAGAAATGCAAGGATATAACTTATAAGAAAAGAGTTGCTTGCTCAAGTTCCAGAAGCAAACGAAAAGCAGCTCAGAGAACGGGGGAGCGGATGAGTAATCAGTAATGATAGCCTAAGAAGCAATATTTCTTCATTGTTTGACCCCTTCAATTTATGTGTTAATTATTTTTTAAAAAAAAAAGAGTAAATACCCAAAATGGTCCATCGACTATAGCTAAATTCATAAATTGGTCATCGACTTTCAATTTCAACCAATTAAGTCCTTAACTTTGTAATTTTAACACCAATTTGGTCCTTTGTCTATTTGACCGTTTGTTGACTGTGATTTTGAGGATATATATGTAATTTCATGGTCCATCGTCGGTTTTTTAAGGTTCTAGTTGCATTTCCAGACCGCACTGTTACATTTAAATCCACTGCCGGAAGCAATCTATCAAATCCGGTCGCCTTTCTTCATCCTCCCTTTGGATTCAATGTAGTTGAGTTCGTACCAGAGCGAAGAAGACGTGTTTCCGAACCAATGCAACGTCATCCTGGAGGCCTCCACGTGCTCCGACGAGAGCTGAAGGTTCTTCTGGAGATCGTCGATCACGGACAACAAACGGTCAAATAGATGGAGGACCAAATCGTGTCAAAATTACAAAGTTAAGGACTTAATTGGTTGAAATTGAAAGTCGATGACCAATTTGTGAATTTAGCTATAGTCGGGGACCATTTTGGGTATTTACTCTTTAAAAAATGATTTTAACCTAAATTCTTCCCCATCCAATTTAGAGATAACAATGCACCGAAAATGAATTATGCTACTCTCTCTCTCTCTCTCTCTTTTATATATATATATATATATATATATATATATATACTAAAAACCGACCTTAAAATCACTTTATAACTATATCACTTACTGTCTCACCTTTTTAAAATTAGCTAAATAAAAATTTATAAGCGACGAAAAAAATAACTCAAAAAATCTGAAAGTCACAAGTTCATATTTTACCAACATCTTTTTAATCAAGTTCTTTGTACCAGGCACACCCTTTAAAGTGATTGCAGATTCCCTCATCACCCGTTCTTGAAGCCAAGGCACTTTCTTCTCAACTTGGGTACCCTTACCTTATTTGAATGGCCACTAAAGTGAGCACCAATCTCCTTCAACAATATAATCATTCAAGGTTTAAAGATGTAACCCTTTAAAAAGATTTTGATAGTATTTATTTTGGCATTACTATGCATAAATGAATTGGAAGCCTAGGGCTATGTTTGGCCGTGCTTATTTAGGAGATTATAGTTTATTTTAAGCTACTAATAAGCTATAAACTCTGTTTGGTAATGTTCTTAAAATAAGCTCCTAGCTTCTTAACTTTTTTTTTTCATCTTTATACTTATTATTTTAAAGAAATTACATAATTTACCCTTCCCAATTAAAACTTTTTTCTCTTCTCCTTTATCCGCAACTTTCACCGAAAATATTATTATTATTATTATTATTATTATTATTATTATTATTATTATTATTATTATTATTATTATTATCAACTTATCAAAAAACTAATTTTACCAAACACTTTCAATCATAACAGCTAGCTTAACAGGTCTTCAGTTTTCAGCTCCTAGTATAGCTTATAACTTTTCAGCTAGGTTTGCCAAACAGAGCCTAGAAAGAAGTGACTGAATAAGTAGAATATAATTTTTGTAATTGAAATTATATATATATATATATATATATATATATATATATAATAAAACCTCTATCATAGCGGGCATGTTCCCCATTCCTAACCAACCACTAATTAAGCAGCAATTATTAACAAATTCAGGGAACCATCATCATCATCGAAATCAATGATTAGTTCTTCAAGCTAAGTTTGCTATTGTTCATTCGCTTGCATGAGCATATCCAGATCACCTTAGCTATTTGTTCATTGGGTTGCATGCATGCTTATTGGAGTCGCCTCAGGTTGATTTGCAACTTGTTACACACCAAGTTGGTATACAATAATAAGAGAATGCATGTCTTTATACTATAAAGTGCAAACATAATTAATTCAATAAGATTTCTATGTTGTTAGTATATATATAAGTTCTTAGCTTGTACTATACATGCTGCCATGCATATAAAAATAAAACAAACTTTTAAAGATGGTTTTACTTACTTAGTGATATGTTTGGTGTATGATGTATGATGTGGTATCCAATTCACACTTTATGTTAATCAAATTCGAATAATTTTCTTAATTGTAATTTACAAAAATTAGTAAGAAAGCATGTTAGTTACATATGCTATGCATGCTATTCTCACATAGTTCATATGCTATTTATGAGAGAGATATATGTGAGATGAGAGATAGATGTTTATTATTAATTTAGTAATTATATTACTATAATTGTATATAAGCATAAGATGTGCTACTAGTTCAGTGCAAATGGTTATTGGTAAAGATTTATCAAGTCCATTGTTAATTATTGGTTTGTTTAAAATGAGGGTTGCCTAAATGAGGTTTGGATGGTTATTGGCATTGGTCTTTCAATTCATCTTTAGAGTGCTGGGAAGCAAGAGGGCACTGATAGATTTTGCTTTTTGGCTTTTTGAGGATGGTTGATTGTTTTGCTATCGTGGTTTTGATGATTGCTTGGACTATTATTATGTTAGAGTTGGACATCTCTTATAAGGCTTTTTGTTGGTCAATTTTTTTCACCTTTTGGGACTTCCTTTTAGGCTCTTTTTGTCATGTCCAGTAGTTATAGTTTGGTATTTGTTTTAGGATTTTTTATCACGCACTTAATAGTTGTAGTTTGGTATTTGTTTTAGGCATTTTATCATATCAGGCACTTAGTAGTTGTAATTTGGTCCTTTTTAGGCTTTTTGTCATGCACTCAGTAGTTGTACTTTGGTCTTTTTTGCTAGGCATTTAGTAGTTATTGTTGATCTTTCTTTTAGACATTTTTTGTCATGCACTTAGTATTTGTAACTTGTTTTTTCTTTTAGAATACTTTATTCTATGTAGGCAAGTTGCTTTTTTTGTGTTGTGTAGGGGAAGAAAGATTCGAGTTGTCATATAATGATCAAAAGAGAAAGAGAGAGGACTAGAGGAGGTCAAGAGGTTGCCGAGATTCGAATTGTTATATATATAATAGTCAAAATACCTTCTAAAAGTTTGAGAATTGCTATTTATAATGGAAGTAATGTTTACATAGACAAATTGGTTAGGTGACTAGATATAGGCCCTGTTTGGTAAAATGGCTGTTAAATGATAGCTGATAGCTGTTTGCTGTTAGCTGATTGTGTTAATTAAAGGGTATAAATAGTTGATAACATTAGATAATTGTAGAAAAGTGTTTGGTAAATTAGCTGTTAGCTGATAGCTATTTGGTATAATTTCTTTTCTCAAAAAGCTAATTGAAAAAGTTGCTTGGAGTAGCTTTTTGAATTTTAGCCTTTTGGAATTGCAAAAAGCTAATTAACCAAACATTTCTATTGATATTTTAACTAAATCAAACAATTAATTGTGGTCAAATAAGCTAAAATTGGCCTATACCAAACACGGTCATAGTGATAAAAGTATGCCTAGAACCTAGACCCTACGCCTCCATTCATTGTGCTAACTCATAAGCTAAGTATGTGAATTGAATATGGTAAGCAACCTCAAGCACATAGCTCTCTAAGCCCAACATCTCAATCACCCAACTTCACAGATTTTCTAATTTTTAATTCCTTCGACATTAATGAATCATCATGATTAATTAAGTGCGTTAGGTCGTTGAATCAACATATATGAGTCAAGTCTAAAAGGATAAATATGTTATCCAACACTACCCCCAACCAACATATTATGGAAACAAGAGCATCAAATTGCACATTGCTATTAATGCAACTGCATCACTTCTTTTAGTTCTGTAGAGTACATTTCCACAGGAGCAAAGAATAAAACAAGCACAAAGGGACAAGGACGAAAAGTTAAAGAAGCAACAACAATTGAAAGAAGAGAAAATTCCCATAAGAAAAGATGTTTCAAAATGACAAAAACAATGTACAGTAACTCACTAATGAGCTGACACTGTTGTAAAACTGTAAACTATGGGAGCCATGAAAATAAAGCAAAAATTTCCTCCTGTTATCAGGATGAGTATTAAAAGGAAAGCTATCCAGCAAAAGGGCACGTTTTAATGCCCAATTATACAATTTTGTCATGGCCTTGTATATTTGCATCAGCAACCCCAAACCAATTCCCACAAAAACTTGCTGAACAGTAAGACCACTGAGAGACTTCTGCAATTTACAGTTGTGAACCATTCCATTGAAGATAATGAAACTCTAAGGCCTATCAGGTATCCTGAGGTGCTTTCGCTGGGGAACAAAATATTGAGTTTGAAGACTTAACAACTTCCCGTCCAAATGATTTTGTCCTGGGACCATACCGTGATTCATCATCATCACTGTCAATTTCTGTAGGAGTGAACCTATTCTGGTGACCTCGGCGTCTGAGAAGGAAAACATTGAAGTGATAGCTTACCAAAGAGTCCCTACTCTTGGTAGGGAACTCCTTAAAAATTTCATCCCAGAAACACTTGCTAGGTGATTGAGATTTTACTATATCCTCAAATTTCTTTTCTTCTTCTTTGGTCCAAGAGTTTGCAACTTCATCACCAGCAGAATCGAGTTTCCATAGTTTAAAAGCCGAGCCCAACTCATTTTCAACCTTCGACCTTTTCTCGGTAATGTGAAATTTAACACACGTATAGGAACCCGGGATTGGGCAACCACATGTATCTTGCCTTCCTTTTCCAATAGGGTCTCTTTCAATTAATACTCGGAGCTTCTCATCTTTTGGTAATGGCCAGATTTGAGTCCCCAACCATTTAGAATCACTTTCAATAATCTCCCCAGTCCATTCTGGTACATCTGCTTGGAAATTTCGCCCCACAGGTCTCCGAATTTTGCGAGGCTGGTTCCATGATCGACCAACATCTGAATCTTCAGTAGAATCAGTTGGTGCATCACTGGGATCCTCTTCACTCTGAACACTTGTTGACGATGATCCTGTAGAGAGCTGTGTACGCCGCTTTTTGAAAGAATCTTCTTTTGCACCAATGATCCTTTGACTGCATCTTACTCTCTCAGAAACAACAGGAGTCTTAACCTCATACAGACTGGGAGTCATTTTATGTGATTTCTAGAGCAGAGAAAATTTTCAGAATAAATTAGTATATATATGATTGAAACTAAAAAGTACAGTTTCTAAGTTCTAACGAAGAAAATAGTAGTGCCACCCAACATTAAAAGTAGGGAAAACATAAACATTAGGCAGAACTCCTTCCTCAGGAACACGAAGTCCATGATTTCACCTATTTAAAGGCATAATTATGTAAAAGTTTATTACCAGTAACAGCTTAGCTTATTAATTAGATAGATGGCATTAAATCCTAGACCATTTCACCAAATAGGATAACACAGTAACATTTATGCAAGTCTTGGAATAGAAAGCTATCTTTAAATTGTATTATTACAATACTTATCATTGGATTAATCAACTATTCCATAAAAAGAAATAAATCCTAGCAGTAAACAAATAATCCTTAAAGAGACAACTTCATAATTTATAAACGGTATAACTATGAACTAGAGCCAAAGCCCTCAATCTTTATAAATCTTGATTGCACACACAGTATCATCATCAGCATTGCACTTTAAAGTCACAACACTTATGTCAGATACTCAGATGCATGTCAATTACAATAAAGTCCAATTTACTATATCACACTCTTCATAAAGTGTTTCCTCTATTTATGAAGCATATATAACAGAGGATGACGATAAATGAAGCTCAGTTGACCGTGTAAAGACACAGGATTCTCATTGATAATTGGTACTGCCAATCAGATGGATGAGAAATGTTGTATCCTTGCAGATTATACAAACACACAATGCAAAAGAACCATTGTACATAATGCACCATTTGAATAAGAAAGCATGTATTTATGAACAAAGGATTAATAAAATTGTCATAATTAAAATACCACTCCATATAATGTAAGATTGAATAATGAAGGACTAGTGTCACAGCGAGAATGCATGAGGAAGACTTCACACTTACCTGCCAAATAGAATGCTGATAACTTGAATCAGTGTTGCTATCTAAGAGCATCCACTTTCGCATCAACAAAACTTGCTTCCAAACCTTATCAGTCCCGTACGACTTCCACTTGGAAACATATGGTAGATGCCCAATTGATGGGTCACCGGGATCCCTTGCAACCATAATAGCCCAATTTAGGGCCTCGAGGAAAGATTCTTGTCTCCTTTTTCTGTCAGCACCATCTTCCTTAGGCAAAGAGGTTACAGATCCATTATCATCCCTGACACATTGTACACTGATGTTTGTTTCAGCAGTAACTGATTGCTCATTGCCACAATCAACAATCACATTTTCAACAGCATTTGTATTCTTCAAATCAGCATTGAAAACCTCCCCATTAATCTCATTTATTTCCAAAATTTTATCAATGATGTCCTTGAAAGCAGGGTCCATTTCCATTGACACCCCAATCTTCAACTCCTTTCCCTTACAATGCGTCTGCAGCAGCCACCTGTCAAGTGAGTCCAAATACTTAGCATAAACCAATTTCAGAGGCAGTCCAGAAGGTGAATCAAACCCACATTCCTCAGCAACTAATCCCCACAACCCATTCCTGGAAACCTTCTCATACCCACCTCTCTCCCTCACAACAGCATATAGCTTAAACAAATCAACTGGATTCTTATCGCCAAGCATTGGAGGCATTGGCCTAAAACACTGAGGACCATAAACTTGTTTAAGCAAATGAGATAAAAATTTAATAAACAAAAGCCCAGTCGCATTACTAACTTTTTCTCCCTCAAACTCCTTCGTAATCGTAGAGCCTTTTAAACCCACTTCAGAACCAAGTTTGTCCTCGGTTTTTTCAAGTGCGCTCAGGCATTCTAGACCCGATCCATCAACTCTTTTCGACCACCCTGCCATCCGATAATCAAAACCCTAACAGCAAATCATCTCTAATGTACCCAAAGCAAGAGTAACAAATTGATGACCACAAAGGGGGAAAACCTCAAAAGACCGACTTTTATTTATTATCAAAACAAAGAAAAAACGGTGGTCTCGGTCGAGTAAATGCGAAGTGTATGCAATATGTGTGTTTTTAGAGAAAAAACGGCTTTCGATTCCAAGAAATGGACGGATATGGAAGGTGTTGATTGGGTGTTTTGGTTTTGGGCGGGAAGTGAATATTCATGAGCGCTCAGATTTTCTAGGGTCCAAGATTTTAAGGCCCCGCGGTCTATCTCTCTACTCTCTACATACCAACATATGTGTACATGGACAAAGAAGTTGTAGAAAGCGATATTTTTTCAATTTGTGAACAGACACAGAGCCTTCTGTGGGAAAAAAGAAAAAATAAAATAAAAGAAAAGAAAAGAAAAGGTTTTTCAAAGGAATTTTGGGGGAGAGAGAAAGAAAGAGTGAGTGAGAGAGAGAGAGACATACCAGTAAAATGCCTAATATGAAGGGAGGCCTGTCAAGGCTGGACCTTTCTTATTCTCTTTGGCTCCTTGTTTCATCTACTATTTCTTCTAGGCCCTATTTTTATGTTGAGAGAGAGAGAGAGAGAGAGATTGCATATGGGATTATGGGGGGAGGGGCTAAGGAAAGGTGAGAGATCTAGGATTCTTCTCATAGAGGAAAAAAATTGATTTGTTGTATAATGAGGTTTTTGGATGAGTGAATAAACCAAAGCACCAACTATATATAACCCAATATTGGTGCTTTTTGTTAATTATTCATTTATATATATTAGGGTTTTATTGAGGATGCATAGGGGAGGAGTGAAAAGAAGATGGGTCAAATCTCGCTAATGATATTTTGTATTGCGACGGTGGGGTCCATAGAGGAGGGGTTGAGAAAAAGATGGATCGGTTTTTTTGAATGATATCTTGTCTAGATACAGTGAATATTATAACATAATAATAACTTTATAATAATTCAATTCATATATGAGTTAATAAAGTTTTAGGGGCGTGGTTTTTTTTTTTAAGTTGTGTTGTTTTCATTCTTAAGGTGCGTTGTTTTTTCCTTCTTAAGGTGCATTGTTTTTTCCTTCTTAAGGTGCGTCGTTTTAAAATTTTAGGTGCGTGAGTTTCCTTCTTAAGATGCATTATTTTCCTTCTTAAGGAATTAAGGTGCGTTGTTTTCCATCTTAAGTGTTTTGTTTTCCTTCTTAAGAAAAAATAAAATAAAATGATTTTTTTTTTTTAATTTCATGAATTCCCTTTAGGTTATCTATCATCCTTTAGGTTTATATCTCTGTTGTTCATTCATAACTCCAGTTGACGATATTTATTATAGTCGATTTCTTTTAATCTTAAGCAACATAACAGGTGCTCAAAGGAGAGCATTAATGGAGAACGCGCATTTTTTTTTAACTTTTCATTAATTTGAACCGTTGATTTATATTTGACTAATGACTCATATCTAATCTCATTTTTCACCAGGGAGCAACCCTACACCAGAACGATGAGTTGTAAAGACCTAGAGAGAAAGGGGGGAGCAGAGAAGGGCTAGGCCAGCCCATCTTGTAACAAGAATAAGGATGATAATTTTATTTGACTTCAACAAAGAATCCAAGTCTCTACACTCAATGGGGTTCATTCGGGGAACATGGATTGGAATACCTTGCCTTACCAAGCATAATTTCATCACGAATTAATTATGAATTTCTTAAGTTGCAAAGCCAACTCTACACATCTATTCCTCTCTATCAGTGTGTCTCTCACTATCTTACCGCGTATGACAATTGGAGTGCAGCATCAAGCACCCAAACCAATCACTTAGGCAGTTTTTTTTGTTTTTTTTTTTTTTATTTTTATTTTTGTTTTTTTTTTATCACTTAGGCAGCTAAACACTAGAGTCCATAGTAGTATAACGTACCACTTATGGTTTTATGCACATACTTATGGTCAAATCTGAAACTATTTTAAAAAAATACCTTGGACATGTTGATTTTAATGATAAAGTTGCACAAACCATAACTCTACACTTATGGTTTTATGCACATACACATTCTCTCACAATCAACCAAGTGAAAGAAAATTAAGTATTACACACCTTTATTTTGTTACAATATAGAAATAAAAGTACAAAGCTGTAAATAAATATCACGATAAAGAAAAAATATTTAAAAGTGGTTGTGTTTTGCATTTAGTTGGGTTTTCTTAAATGTTGAATTGGTCAAATAAAAAAAATGCAACAACTTAATATTTTCCCCTTACTATACTACTATCAATTATATCACTTCATTATAATAAGGAACTTTTCCGTTATGTATTCTTAATTTCCATTTCTAACATTAGCGGTTTAAGGGTCCCTCAATACTCACACACTATGCTCTAAAGATTGGTGGATAAGATAAATCGCGAGATATATATCAAATGATCAACAAGTATTCAAATTTATTAGTGGGATGCGTACAAAATTTATTAGTTAAAAATTGACATGCATTGAAATAAAACCGAACAATTTTAGTCGGTTCTTAAGGAAATTTAACTATGTCAAATCTTAAACTCTAGTTGTTGAGATATCTTAGATATCTTAGAGTGATTGGTATATTTGAATTTTAAAGTTGTGTACCTTACCAAAACCAACGGGCTATAAGTCCTACTTTGTAAATCACAGTACCATGTACATGAACCGATTCTTTAATGAATTTGTTGGGCAATGTCCTAGTTTGTTTTTTTTTAGTACTATTGACTCTATTAAAAAGGTAGTATCTGTTCTATACTTTTTCAAACTACTACAATCCAAAGAGTCAATGCTCTACTGATTAAGTTGATATCTCTATTAGTATTTTACTTTACCAAGGTTTAATAATTTACAAAGAAACATTCTCCCTTTTGTTTTAATCGTGTTTGATCTCTTGAATAGGTTTCTGACTTTCTGTTTGTGCAACAAGCAGGCTTGACCGAAAGTATGAGAATCACGCTTTACCCACTTAGCCAACTCTTTCCGGGCAATTTCTGTTATATTTTGAAGTATGGACAATGTAAATAGTGAGAAGTGGTTGTTGTTGGTTTTATACATACTTAGGACAGAAATAAAAATATTCACTATGTAGCATAAAAGAAAGACAATGGATTTAACTCTAACCTTAATACTAATTTCATTGCATCTGATTTCACAATCGAAAGGACAGACAACCCCAAGTGTCCCACCATACTTTTCAACCTTAATCCAAAAAGGGAAATGCCCAGAATAATGCAATGCAGTTGAGAAAGAGACATCATGGAAAAGAATGAGAATCCTTGGAATGTATTGAAAGTTGGGGATTGTAACCAGAGCTTCCATCTTGTGAGGCCATCTTGCCGTGAAATGACTCGCCGGAGACCAGTGCCTGAAGCAGCTTTGGCGGCGGAGGCACCTGTACCTCCACTACTCCTTCCAGCATTTTCACCACCATTCCCATCGTTGGCCTCACCGATTCCTCGTCCTGAATGCACCACACGCCCACTAGTCCCACCCGCTCTGCCTCCGATGCGTTATACCTTCCTTGAAGCCTCTCGTCCACGACTGCAGCAACGTTTCCCTCTATTATCTGCTGCGCTGCCCATGGCGGGAAGAACCATTTCTCCTCCGCTCTGCCCTTTCCATCTCCTCCACGAGTCGAAGGTGGGCCCTCGACGTTGCGCCTCCCACCAATTAATTCTAGTATTGTCATTCCATAGCTATATACATCCGCTTTTGTGGTGATTGCCAAGCCAGAGATCCACTCGGGTGCAACGTATCCCCAAGTTCCCCTCATCGTGGCTAACACTCTACTAAAGTCCCTCCCGAGGAGCTTTGCTAGCCCGAAATCTGAAACCTTTGCTGAGAAATCTCCATCTAATAGAATATTCTCGGGTTTAATGTCACAATGTATGATGCAATTCCTGCACTCCTCGTGTAAATATGCAATGCCTCTTGCAACTCCCATGGCAATTCGAAATCTAACATCCCAACTAAGAGTTTGACTGTCACGCCTCAAGTACACGCTAAGAGGACCTTTCGACATGTAGTCATAAACCAAAAGCCTGTGAGAATTCTCACAGCAGAACCCCCTCAGTCTTACCAGGTTAATATGCTGAATGTTTCCAATGGTACAGACCTCTGCCCGGAATTCCTTTTCACCACCGCCAGGTCTATCGAGCCTCTTCACTGCAACAAGGGAAGAGTCCGATAACTCCCCTTGGAACACGGCTCCAAATCCTCCATGCCCGAGCTTCTCAGAGAACCCCTTTGTGGCAGCATGAAGTTCCTTGTAAGAAAACACTTTCAAGTTTGTCACTGGAAACACGGCTTCCTCTTCTTCTTTCCTCCTCAATTTTCTTCTCCTCAAAAGCAACAAAGTCAAAATCCCCAGCAAGAAGATTACAACAACCCCACAGCTCACTCCAATCAATAAAAATCTCTTCCTCTCGTGGCTCCTGCTAATACTCTCTCCCTGCACTCTTAACAATAACTTATCATCCAAGGTGCTATCAGAAGAAAGGTTCCTGAGATTCAACAACTCCCCATACAAATTCTTACATAAACTACTTCTCTCATTATAATGTAAACCAATACAAGTGCAATTAACTAAGCATTCCTTTTCACATGTACTCCTAGTTCCAGTAAACGACACTACTTTTGCTCCATCATAACTCACTGTCCCAACTTCCTTAAACCCATCACTCTCACTACAAAGACCATTGCTTTCATGGAGACAGCCACCAGAAAAGTCTCCGGCATTCCAAGAAGCATCATCCCATGGCTTAAACCCAGAAAAACATTTACATGGACTTAAAGCAGACCTAGAGTTACAAAGCCCCATATTCCCACATAACCCATAAACTCTACACAAATTCTCAGGCTGTGACCAGAACATATTCCAATTCTCAGTCTGGACAGACCATGTATACTGCTTAAGCTGGCCTGTGTGGTCCACGTGGAAGCGGGTTAAAGGGGGTTTCACGCCGGGGTCTATAGGAACCTCAGAGTACCCAAAAGATGCAATTGGAGTAAAGGGTTGAGAAAAAGTGAATTTATAAATGTAAGGAATAGTCATTTGAGGCACTCCAGCAAAAGCATTTCCAGTCCAATTACCAGTAGACCAATAAGTATAATTGGCATTATAAATTAGAGCAATCTCACCGTATGCCGGCGGGGGGAGGCGGAGAGAGTACTTCCCCGGCGATGGGTCCGTAGAACTTTTCCAAGAACTCAGCCACCTCTGAGCTGTTAAGTTCATGCCGGGAAGCCAAGTATCAGTTGGAAAATCAAAACTTTGCCAAATCAGCACACCATCACTGTCCAAAAGCACCAAATTTCCTTGCTCCAATAGCTTCACATCACTGGCTTCCTTCACGTTGTCAGTTCCCCAAACAACTGAATCTTCTTCATTGAGGAGAGCTAGCTTTCCATTTTGGGTAATCTCCAGCCTAGCCAGTGATGAATTCTTAATTGGTGTTTCCCTATTGGCCACCCAAACATAGGTGGGCACCGGGATTGAAGCATACCGAATGCCCAAATAGCAGTTGGACTCGCCGCTGATACTGAAGAAGCCCAGCATAAATGTCTTGTTCTCGCTGAAAATCTCAGCATTCCCCTTCAGAACAACTCTTGATCTCTGCACAGATTGAAGCTTTTCTCCATCTGTGGAAGCTCTATCAGCTGGGAATGAATCTTGATTGTGTCTGGGCAGATGGGTCAGGCTTGATATTCGTTTTGTTGATTGAGAATTCGCCTTTAGTTGGAATGAAAGGAAGGTAATGAGAAGAAAAATCAGAATTCTGGGTGCCATTTGGGTGGCGAAGCTAGACTAACATTGGCAAAAAGCAAAGCTTTTTGGAGCTTCAATTTTGCAGACAGGTAAAGAGTGAAGAAAACAGTGAAGAGTTCACACTGTGCCGACTGTGGTAAAAAAGGCAAAGATTGTTGTTGTTCTGGTTATGTAAAAAATGCTACCACGCATGGACAAGAACCAAGATATAGGGAGGAGATTGAGGCAATCAAATTACACTTTTGCCCTTAGGATATTGCCCTTCACTCCAATCAACTAGTACGGAGTAGTGTATTTTATACGCAAAAGCAACCATTAAATCATACTCCATATATATTGTCGCATTTATTGAAAATTTTAATTAATTAAATAAATGCTTCAAACTGTTTTTCTTGTCCATAAAACATTGTTCTAAAAATTAATGCCTACCAGGCTTGTATGTTGTGTTGAGAGTAATCAATAATCAATAATAATAATAATAATAATAATAATAATAATAATAATAATAATAATAATTGTTGATGACATGAAAATAGTAGGACAGGTATGGACAGGTAATGGAAAGATTAGGTGCAAATTAATGAAATTATGCCTTGACTTTTGCCTTTTCTCTGACTATTAAAATCTTGACAAATTTTAACCAAATTATTGTTATTATAACCTAATAATAAAAAATTTATAAAATGATATTTAGTGGGTTAATAATGTATAATATTATTTATTTTGATTGGTTTAAATTGAACCAAATATTTAAAAAGAAAACAAAAAATTTTGAAAAGGAACTCTGAATCAAGTCAAACAAATAACACCATGAACCTTTCAAAAAAAAAAAAAAAACACCATGAACAACAAAGTTTATAGTTTACGAAGTTTTTATGCTGCTCATTTAATTTATTGTAACTTCAAAAAAAAAATTAATTATGTGGAGTGTTCTAGATGCCCCAATCAAACAAATATAGTAATGATTCACTAATTTCATGAGTTAGGAGTAGACTTTGACTACGGGGTAAAGAATGTAAGACCTAATAGCAAGATGACAAGCACTTATTTCTATATCTGCTTTCATTTTTGAGTTTTGACAATCCTCAAATGGAATCTTATTGCTTATATAAGCTGGAGAAGATTGTAACACCACTAACCTCCCTTTCACACAACTTAGGTGAGTTTTTTCTTGGCATCTTTTATAATGTCACCATTTAAATATAAATAAATATAAATAAATAAATAAATATAAATAAATAAATAAATATATATATAAATTTACTAAAAAGGACACAGTAAAAATAGAAAAGAATAGTGGACAACTTTCTTCCTTGAGCTTTGACAACAACATATCATATACAACACAAAATTCTCCATTTATTGATTGCCTCATTATGCTTCTTCTGGCAGTAGTGCTTACATCTATAACTGCAATGGACAGTGGAGGTAAAAAGCAGTACATGTAACAAGTAACAACCATAATATCATAAGAAACAGATAAAAGAAGGCAAACATGAGCACAACTGAAGTTCTTGGAATGAATCACATTTCATATTTATGATATAGACCAAATACAACAACCGAATCCACATCCACCAAAGAGAATATAAACAGAAATGCAGGAATATTTACAGAAAAATGCATGAAATTACAAAAGCAAGAGAAAATAAATCTGTACAGGATGGTGATAACGACAAGGGAGGGATTTCCAAGGTGTGCTTACTAAGCATCAAAGCGGGAAACAGAAATTTACTTTTGGCCTCTGCATAAAACGGACTGGCCACGGTTGGCTTCCTTCAATAAATAAACAGCTTGATCATCACATAACCTTACTAATCCAGAATGTATATCTAGCCAATGCATTGCAGGGTGTCTAGAAATGGAGAACACATAACTGGCTTTACTCCATGCGAGGAACTGTCCAAGACGGTTGATCAACTAATGCGGAGCACTAAACTATTACTGCCTTTTATATGCTATTACTATACTGAGAACTGAGAAGAAGGGTAAAGCGATATGGTGTTCCATGTTTAAGCTAACTAGTAACTGCACCTTTGTGTCTTGAAAGTATCAGAGAGGTTCATATATCATTTCCTGCCATACGAAGAGACAAAGATTTCTTACTGCATGGAAATTAGAATTGCAATGATGGCCTAATGCATATTGATCTTCAAAAAAAAGTTCCTTTATCTTTAAATCAACAAAATACAAATCATATCCCAATGCAGGAAAAGTTGTTGAGAGCTGGAGTATTATATTGCATCACCATTTAAGGAAACAGAAAGCCTACCTGATCGCATACAGGGCATGCGTCACTTCTTTCCATCCACTCAAGTATGCATGAAAGGTGGAAATGATGGTTGCATTTTGTGTTGATTCTTGGGTTGTCAGCATTGTACTCTGTAACCAAGATATAAGCTTAACTAAGATTATACTCTCAGACAACTAGAGAGCAAGAGTGAAGACAAGGGCAGGAAGGGGAGTATGGCAAATATATGGATTGCTAGCCTAAATATTTAACAACTACATTTATACACCCTTTTGATCTTAAGTTGGACCTTATGAGTATTGTCTATCCACTATTTTGTTTAAGGAAGAAAGACAACAAAAGCTTTTGGTCTTCAAGCCAGAGGGAATCAATTCAGAAATTTAGGAAGAAAAAGACATAGCAATAAGAAGAAGAGACAAAGCAATAGAAAGAAATGCAGCTAGGTGAGTTCTTCATGATCAATTCTTCTTCCTGTTTCTTTAACTTACAAATTGTATAATGTTCTCAATTATGTTTAGTATATATTCTTATACATAATGTGTTTACTTGACTTGCTGCCAATAACCTGAGAAGGGAATTTTATGTAATAGCTTCTAACAATATATTTCCACAAACAGAACAAAAGCTAGGGATGGACTGACATCAACATTAGTGATAATAAATTGGCAATGCAAACTAGGGAATTTCATACAACTCAAAGCGTCTTGACCTACTTAAATTCAACAGAGATATAAATATATAATTGGTAAGTTCAATATAACACAAGAGTAAGTATTGAATAGGTTAGAAAATCCTGCTGCACATGTGTGGTCACATATTTGGAAGCATATTAATTTAGAATCTATATTTTCAGGTTTTGGTTGAATTCTAAGCCTTTAGTGTCTTTACATTTTTGCAACTCAGATTTAAATTTGTCCAAATAACGCTAGAATAAGTTAATTTTGGTAATTAGTTTCTTAGCAGTCCTCATTGGACAAAAACTCAATTCACACACAATATTACGTGATTCAACTAGTGCACTTGCTAGGATTTTACACATCATTGATCATCAAGAGTACTGGCACGAAACATACCTTCAAGGCAAGTGGGGCAAACATCCTCTTCTTCCACAAATGAGATGGCAAGTGGGTTCGGTTTTAGATGCTCAAGCTCATTTTTCCTTGGAGAAGGAAGAGGCATGTCAGATTCAGCTTTGCACTCAGACACTTTAACATCTAGGCAGGTAGCTTTATCAAAACTATTACTGATCGTTGAATCTTCAGTAGGTTCAGCATCTGCTGGTTGTGGACAACCCAAAACTATGTCAAAGGGAATGGGTAGGGGTGGGGGCCGAAAAGTGTCGGGACTTGATGTATCAAGGTTCAAATCAACCAGGAATCCACTAGCAGCACTGTCATTTGAGGTCAAAGAGTCACGCTCCTCTGAAGATGGTGGGCACTGCAAGAAGAAATTGCAATTTCAATATTAAAATTCAGTAGAGAAGATCTCTAATGTTATGAAATCATGATTGCTAAGTTAAAATTTATAGAGAATACCATAGATAAGAATACTGTACCCAAGTAAAAAGATAAAAAAAAAAAGATCACATTAAGTAGCATCATAATCCAAATGACTACCCACATAGTAAAATACAGGGGTTCCATGGAGCAGGGGCTTTCTTGCAGAACAACAGCAACCTCCCATCCTGGCTAACGTTCTTTCAGCTGAAAGATGAAATTCTCTTGGTTTTTGACATCCACTTTTCTTCTCAATGGATGAAAGCAATCACTTTCTATGAAAACAAGAATAGTAGGATGTAAATAGGAATATTCAGAAAAAACACATGAATGAGAAAAATGAGAGGCCAAGGTTGATAACATTAAGAAAAAGGCAAAGAATAAAGGGTCAATTATAAGTACATAACTGTACAGACAAGCCACCACACACAAAATGCAAAAAGAAGGAAAAAAAACTGAATAGAAAAGGAAATAGCATCCCATAATATAAGTTTCCATTGTGGAATATGTGTGTACATACCATCCTAAATGTTCATTCATTCATGGGTTTAGAGAAGATGTCAGTTGCTGAGAGACACACTTAAAAGCTAATTCTTTCCATGTACTCTGAGAAAAGTGAATTCAAGCTCATAATAACCAGGTAAAACATAAGAACAGTTTGCTAAGAGGAGAAAATGGATCAAAGGCTTGAGAGGCTACTAATTAGTCATCATAATAACCTAGAGTGATCATTTAAATTCATACAGGAACATGGTACTGATTTCACTATATCCTACCTGTTCAAATTTGCATCATAAACATGATATCAGTACATTCGTAGCTGAATTGAATTCATTTGACATCAATGCAGACAAAAGCTATGAGTTCTCTCATGTTTATTCAATTCTTAAACATAATGAGTTACTTTGTCATTTATTCCTCTTCCTTTTCCTTCATGACAGCTACTCACACCACAGGGAGTCTTCTAGATGGGACTAAAATACTACAATCATTTGGCACCAGCTTTCCTAAAAGGCTAAAATTTCAGAGCATTCACATTGTAACACAGGAAATCAACAGACAACTAAATAAGCAACCAATTTCAATCTTAGGAGGCTTCAAAACACCTACCCACTGCCAAAGAACATCAGGTCAATCGGAGACCAGCAGGTAGTTACACACCGAAATTCATTTAGTACATGATCAGACAGTGAAGTTAGCCGATAATTGTGCTGGGAATCAAAAGTAAACACCGAGAATCAATCTTTAAGCTAAAATTCCATCTTGCTAAACAAATTTAAGCAAATATGATATGAAACAGATATTAACGTACATACAAACGCAGCCAAAGAGCAGATATATACCAATAAAACAAAACCATAGCTTTACCCAGGGATTACGGCAGCTGAAGAGGTGTTGGAAGGAAGATGAAGAGAGGATGGTCGACCTTGTGAAGGAACCGGGGAAAGAGAAGGCAAAAGGGTTTTCACTTGTCACGCATTTTTCAAACTCTTTCGGCGTTTCGGTGGGGGATGGGGTCTAAGTGAAAGAGTAGAAAGATTAGAGGCCGAAGTAGAAAAATCGGATCTTTGGAGAAAATTCCGAAGAAATTTTGGTTGACCTGACCATCTCAGCTGAACTGACAACCATATTCAGAATTCAGATTCTGACACAGAAAATTTACAAAAAGTGGAAACGAAAATGATCGCCCACTGTACTTGATCCCATGATATTTAAACTCACCCACCCTCATGCCTCAACCCAAAACAACATCGTTTTGTTAAATTATTAAAAAAAAAAAATCTCATGTTTCGAATGTATATAAACTCATAACAGAATAAACATAAATTCATAACAGAATATACATAATCTAACATAATACATAATACCCATAAACTCTTAACATAATAAACATAAATGTTTAACTTAATACACATAAACTCATAACATAATACACATAAAATTTTAACTGAATACACATAATGAGATTTGATCTGTTTGAATAGACGGAGTGATATCAACATGAAACGTGTACGATTTGTGTCTGGACGTACATTGCTATGTACTTCGTGGTGCACGATATAAATCCATTTCCAACCTTGAAATTAAAGGTGGACATGGGTCCATAGCATAACAGTCCAATAATTTGCGTAATAAAGCTTGCGTAAAAGCATCATTAGCCGCAATAAAACACTCGCACTTTGGTTGTTGCCCCAACACAACCAGCAACCATCCCTTGTGCTATATCTCGTGCTTCTAATGCATTGTATTCTAGTGAAGATCACAATATAAATATGAGTTCCTTACATGAAAGTTCGAATTCACCTTTCACTATTATATCATTAATATTTAATTTTATTTGCAGATAATTTTACTCAAATTTAGTCATCAACCAAGAAAAATAAATACAATATTATATTTAACAGGTTGACATATTATTTTCTCCCGATATATAATATTTATGAGATTCATCAGGTATTTATTCTATTAAACCCATCAAATTATTTTGTATTGAATTGTAAATAGACAATAATATAATTTGTTGTCACCGTATACTCAACTAATATGCTGTATTTGGAGTTAATACAATACATGTGAACAGGCAGATAATGGGCAGCTGCTGTGTAAGGAGTCAACTTCAATTAGCTGAACCATAATGACACCTACAAATTAAATGGCAACTTATATTACGGCATTATGGTTAGGCCAGCAGGCTTGTATGTGCACGCATATTGTCCACCAACATTGTTGCTTTGAAGCTAATCATCCCATCCCATGTATCCTCTTACCATGCACTGTTTCACTTTCACACATATATCTTTATGTTGTTATATAATATTGTTATTTCAAATTTTATTTTCAATTTAAGATTTGTATGTATATATGGTATTCAGTATTTCTAATACTTGGTATTACAAAACTAATTTGAAATCAGTTCAAATGGTATTCATGGAATTTGACTTTTATTAGAACAAAAATGTCCTATCTAAACTTTTTAACATAGAACTATAGAAGGCAATAAAACAATTTAGTTAGGGACAATCTTAACTAAATTTGGTTAATTAATTAACTTGATAATCATAAAATTTTAAGTGTAATTTTAACTGGTGTAATTTGCGGGCTAAGAGAACATGTTTTTACACTTTATTAGCAACGTACCAATCTTAAATGCAAACAAATTATAAATACCGCCTATTTTGAATGATATAAAGTCAAAGTTAAAAGCATTTAATAACATATGCAGATGGGGAAAGTAGTGAGTTTATGCGTCAAAATTGTTGAATTAAGGCGGTGTAAGTAGGACCCACTTACTGTAGCTCCAACCAGCGCACGTTAGCCCTCTGGCCATACAAAGAACCGCACCATGATGTCGTTGAATTGGTTGAAAACAACTTAAAACATTGCAGCTGAGCTGCAACATACATATATACCCGCCATTTCTGATCTCGCTCGTCAATCGTCACTATGAAGAGTCCCAGCTTGGCGTCTAGGGGCGGGCGGTACCCGAGTTCCAGCTCCGGATCCACGGGCTTTCGGACTTCATCCAGCTACAGCACCCAATATTCTTCTTCTTCTTCTTCATCTAAGAAGTCAACTGCCTCCGGCAAAAGCTCCGTCAAGTGCGCCGCCCAGGCGGTGGCCGGAGCTCTGATTGCTTGTTTCTCTCCCCCCGACTCCAACTTTGATGATTCCAACTCGTTTAAAGCTCCTTCTGGTAAGCACATGTTCTTAGTTGCATTTACTAAAAAAAACAGGACCCCCAAAAAAAGAATTTAACAAGTTATATTATTGAATAGGATAATCAAGATTCTTATACTGGTATTGTCTTTTGTTCATGACGTTATAAACATGTCAGGCTATATTTTATATAGCCTTTGCTTGCTGTCTCAGATGAGACAGAATTTAATTTGGAGCATTTATTGTCCTTTTTCTTATATGCATTTAATCAGTCATGAGAGTGGCAAGCTAAGAGTAGATGGCCTATATATTCACATAATTACATTCTTGGGTTAAGGTTTTGTAGCTGCCATTTCCATTTTCTCATTTAAAAAATGTGCTTACTATACAGTCTTGATTCTTGATGCAATAAATTGGGTTTTGAAATTAGCTTGGACTTGTTTTATGGGAAATTTTAGTTTCACCTGGAGTTGGGCATGAGAGGAGACGTAGCAGTAGTAGCAGCTTGAGTCGCAGTAATCATGAGAACTCAAATATTTCGACCGAGGTGAAAGAGCCTGGGAGTGGTAGATATACTATGGAGGAGATCTACAAGGCAACAAAGAACTTTTCTCCAAGCCTCAAAATCGGACAGGGTGGTTTTGGAATGGTTTATAAGGGCTGTCTTGAAGATGGAACTCTTGTTGCAGTCAAGCGTCTCAAAACGGTTGGTTGGAGTTCAACTAGTTTGTGTTTTATCCTTGATAAATGCTATTATATTGCAGAAGAATGTATCCTAATTGAGTGAGTGCCTACACTGCAGAATATTTATGACAAGCATTTGGGAGCAGAGTTTCGGAACGAGGTCCAAACCCTGGCAAAAATAGAGCATCTGAATTTAGTCAGGTTTTATGGTTTCTTGGAGCAAGAAGATGAGAAGATCATAGTTGTGGAGTATGTCTCAAATGGGACTCTTAGAGAACATTTGGACTGTGAGATCATATCCCTCGATCTTGCCTTATTCTTTGCATTATTTTCAGCTTTCCACTGGATTTTAATTGACAGAAACAATCTAATTGAACGGTGTAGGTTTGCGTGGAAATGTCCTAGATCTTGCCACAAGGCTGGATATTGCAATAGATGTTGCCCATGCTGTCACATATCTACATATGTACACAGGTATGGTGAGCTAGCTTAGCTAGGATTTAGACAAGCTAAGGTAATTTAAATGATCAGAGATCAATCTCGATATATATCTTATTGGAGGATGGTTTGTTTGTTTGTTTTCCTCATGCAGATCACCCCATTATCCACAGGGATATAAAATCGTCGAATATTCTCCTCACTGAAAACTCCCGAGCTAAGGTGGCTGACTTTGGGTTTGCAAGGCTGGCTGCTGACAGTGAGATAGGGGCAACACATGTTTCTACCCAAGTCAAAGGCACAGCTGGCTACTTAGACCCCGAATACCTTAGAACCTACCAACTTTCAGAGAAGAGTGATGTGTATTCATTTGGTATTTTGCTTGTCGAGCTGGTCACAGGCAGGCAGCCCATCGAACCATCACGGAACATCAATGAGCGAATTACTGCTAGATGGGTATGTTTCTCCATCTTTTCCTTGCAAGCATAACACGGTTAATATAATGTTCCTGATAAATGTAGGAAATCAAACAGGAAGTTAAGGCTGCCTAGCTCGTGTTTATGTTTTCCATTCCCTGTTTTTCTTCAGATCAATTCCCTTCTTTTGCATTTTAAAGATGTTGATTGTTTGCCAGCCATTTAAGATCAAGCTAGAAGAATATAATATCACGGGAAATCTCTATAATGTCATAATCTAAAATTACAAACTTTTTTACTTGGAACTGATTGTTTGGTATTGCAGGCTATGAAAAAATTCAGTGAAGGAGATGCAACTTTAACTTTGGATATCAGACTGGAGAGATCTGCTGCAAACATTTGGGCTACAGAACAAATTCTGGCTCTAGCTTTACAATGTTTGGCTGCTCACAGGCACGATCGCCCTGCCATGAAGAAGTGTGCAGAGACTCTGTGGAGCATCCGCAAGGATTACCAAGAATCTTAAACATCATATCCTACATCGCGTCCTTTCCTCTAGACTCGGACTGCATAAAGAGAACAACCCAGAAATGAAAATTCATACAGCTGGTGGAGAGTGCTAATAAAAGTTGGCAGATTTTTTTCATCACACATACACTACAGGCCTTGAACAGAGTTTCTGACTGGAGTTTTTTTGACATAGTAGAGGTCAAGAGGAGTTCTCCAAGAAGTTGGCATGTATAGAGGAACATGTTGAATGATTTTGGTTTATATGTTTTGTGTGTGTGTATATATATATATATATATATATATATATATATATATATATATATAGGAGATTCATACTAGGGGAGGAAATAATAATGTTTTAGAAACTGATTTTTTTTTTTTTTCCAAAGGACCTTTTTATGTATTTTTTGGGAGTGTTGATTCATTGTTGTATACACAACAGTTTATTTGTACTGAATTCCATTTGTTTTTTCCATAATAGCAATTCCCCACTTCTCTTTCACCCAACACAACTTAAAATACAATGGATTATATTTCAATCTCGAGAGCTATCATGTTTCTCAATAATTTACGCGTTTTCAAAGATCTAATACCTATTGACAATTTACATGTCATTATATGATATGAAGGAAGTTTCATGCTTGTCATCATGTGCCTCAACAGATAATCTCAAGTTTCATGCTTTCCTAATTTTTTACGAAAACCCACAGAAATTCTCCATTTGGTAAAAACAAAAAAAAAAAGAAAAGAAAGAAACCATGCACTCCCACCAGCCAAGGTATGATGTCTGATGACATATGAAGATGTCTTTTCGTTAGGGGAAAGGTGAAATGATCAACGGTGGGGCATGGTCTCAACTTACCAATCCAACGCTCATGAGCTCATCTACTGCTCATATTGTCTGCTAGTCATCTTTATCTTATCATGGAAAACAAGACAGACGTACCAAAACCATCATCTTTCCCATGACTTAAGCAAAACATCGTCTTTGACGCGTGTGCGTGCAACCTTCTTCCCCGCTTTCCGCCTCTCTCTACACCCCAGTCCTTGCGGTACGGTTCTTTCTCTCTTTCTCTATATATGCAATTCACGCTTTTCTGTATTTATATACTTGAATCTGTGTACTTATGTAAAGCTTGGTTTTTTTGACCTTGGAATATTGGGTTAGATCGCTAAGAATCGGCGGCGTTGACTCTATCAATCAGTTCCCGTTTCAAGATCTAACTATCCGGTGAGCTTTTTATGTGATTATCGATCGTCTTTCTGTTGATTGATGTTTGTTTTGATAGTTTTTGCTTGTTTACCATAGTTGTTAGATTTCCAGATCTTCAAAATTCTATTACAAAACATGAAACTTGATGAGAAATGTTAGATTATCGGGTAGATGGTGATGTTTTTGCTCCTGATTTCTTCTTTGTAAGATAATTATTGATTGATTGTTATTATGATTTCTTGAAATGGAATATTCAGATTCTGAAAATTACTGTGGTAATTAGCCAGGTCCTGCATAATTCTTCCAAAAGGCCGAACCCCAACCTTAAGGTCCTGCATAATTGATCATCAAAGAAACTGTCTTTATGGTCTTTATTCTTGGTATTTTCTATTTTATGTAATATAAAGCAAAAATCTATTTCTGGGCTATGATTTTGTTTTAAGAAATAGCTTTCTGAAGTTGTATGTTTGTTTACCTTTATTAATTAGTATGCAAGTTAAGGGAGTAGAGAATTCATTCCCTCTCGCGAGGGGAGATCTTTTGATCTGTAACTTGTCTATGTAGCTCTTGGTCTCGTGTGTGGATCGTGAATAATCAATAAACCAATTTCTAAATCACTTATGGTTTTTGGCTTTAATAAATTAAAGAAGCATTTTAGGTTTATAGTCCATAATCTTTGCCAAACATGTTGAAAGTGGATAGTTTAATGCAGAATTGCAATCATCTCACTAACTAAGCTTTATTAAGAGTTTTTGGCAGTTTACTGTCATATGGTACTCTGTTTATTTTATGTAGTTTTGTTAATTTCTTGCCCCCATTCAATTAGTGGTTTGATCTTTTATCTGGTTGTGCAATAAGTGGAACCCTTATGGAGAAGTGATACCGATAATCAAAGATGATTTTGAGTTCTCACTTGTGGTTTCTCAATTTCTATGCAGTTTCGTTATATTATAAAATGAGTCGTCCACAAGATCCTCAACGTCCCTATTTACCATTTAAGAATCCCTTTTCGATGATATTACCTAAGGGCTCACACCTGTCTCCGAGGCTTCTTGCTCTGTTGAATGCTTTCGAGGAATCATTGGCAGAGAAACTCAGAAGTCTGATGCACAGAGGCAGGGGAAATGCCCTAAGTGTATCGTGGATGAAAGAAGCAATGGCTTCACTCTCTACAATCCATACAGATATTAAAATACTTGTAACTGAACTTGAACTTCCTGTATGTGACTGGGACGATAAGTGGATAGATGTTTACATGGACAATAGTGTGAGCTTGCTGGATATTTGCACTGCTTTCAGCTCTGAGATCTTGAGGCTTAACCAAGCCAACCTTTACCTTCGGTGCACTGTGCGTAACCTAGATGGTGAACCAAAGCAGTTTGTACGAGCCCGTTCATCATTGGATGGATGGAGGCAGCGTGTGAATTCCAAAAACCCACGACTCGAGAATAGCTTTGCGATCTTGGACCGCCTCACTGAAAGCCTGAAATTCCCCAAGAAAAAAGATTCTGCAAAAGGGAAAGTTTTGATGCAAGCTTTGTATGGAGTGCAGGTGATAACCATTTTCTTGTGCAGTTTAGTTGCCAGTGGCTTCTCGGGTTCCATAAAGAAACTGAAGCAGTTTGAGGTTCTCGAGGGTTGCTCGTGGGCAGAAGCTTTTGCTAATCTGCAGAGTTTGATTAACAACGAAATCAGTGGAGGGGTAACAGCACCGAAGGAGCTTGAAGCAGTTGACGCAATTGTCAAGACGCTATACCCCATGATTGAGTCGGGGGGATCAAACCCAGCGGAAGCTGGAGGATTGCAAAACGCGACTTCAGAGTTGGCAAAGAACACAGACAAATTGGCGGAGGGGCTGGATGTATTGGCAAAGGAAGTAGATGGATTCTTCCAAATTGTGCTGACAGGGCGCGACGCGATGCTTTCTAACATTAGAGTTGGCAGTAAGATCTCCCAACAAGATAAGAAAAAATGTAGAGGTGCAAATAGTGAGACAAACAACAGGGGACATGTATCTTCTTTTGTACACAAAGGGGCTGCTTAGATGTGAGATTTTATGTTATCTGCTTCATTATGTAGTATTCAACACATACTATCAAAATATAATATATCAAAGTTTGTATTAAAGTTGCCAGCTAGAAAAGCCCATCTGGAGTCTCTCATTTAACCACTTTTGTGAATGAACAATTCTTGAATGCACATTAATTGTAGCAGGGAAGTCTCTCATTACTAAATTTATTAGGTTTGGTGGTGGTGGCTACCCACTTCAGAATTAGACATTGCTGGATGAAATTGACTCCACAGAGCAACCCTCCCTCAATTATTGTATATATGTATATGTATAGATAAGTCAGCCATCTCACCAACCAGAATGTAATTCCAGCCCACCACCTCTGACTAACTAGCCTCATTCTTCCGTGTACCACTTGCCAACAAGCCTTTCATGCTACGCACACATTTTATTATTATTTTTTGTGGGATTAAAAAAAACGCATAAAATTGCATCATGGCATTCAATTCAATGTCCTTACTACAATAATAAAACTAATATGTACTCACCCTCTCAAGATTTGACTATCCTAGGTTTGAGTCACGGGGTCGCAAGTTGACTCTTTTAGACACAAATTGTTTGAATAAAAGCTTAATTTAGGACACTTTAGTATGAAGGAAGTGCTTATCAAAACATGACATATCAAAAATGAGAGGAAATAAGGAGATATAGTGCAAGAGAATGCAGAAACTGATTTGGTAGAAAGAGCAGATATAGTGATTTGCATATATAATAAATAAATGAATGGTAGAAGGAATGAGAAAAAGGACATGATTTATATAATGAGGGTGTAGAAATAAGCCATGTTCACGCACAAACTTCAGAATTCACACACTCCCTATGCAAAAGGGAAAAAGAGGCCAAATTTCTTCACGGGTAATCTCAGGCTCCCCCATCCCCAAGTTCACGCACAAACTTTTACTTCTCTCTCTCTAGAAAAAAAAAATGGAATAAAGAAATGAAAAAGAAACTGAACCCAAGAAGAAAGTTATTAAAATACGTGACAGTAAAAAATTAAAATTAAAAAAAGAGAAAACAAGAAAGAGCCAAGAGAAAGAAATGTCAAAAAGCTCACCCTCGACTCAGTCGTCTGGGTCGTCTTCCTGCAACGCTACCGACAGAGACAAAGCTCCGGGACTTGCGCAAGATTGAGTTTTTTGAAGTGGGATTTTTTCTTAAATTTTGTCGATTCTGATTGATATGTCTGTGGAGTCGAGCTCCGTTGCAGCTGATCATGGCGGCCAAGGCCATGGCCATACCAACTTCAGGGGAGTACCTACTCACGGCGGCCGCTATGTGCAGTACAATGTATACGGCAACCTTTTCGAAGTTTCCAGGAAGTATGTGCCCATCAGGCCAGTCGGTCGTGGCGCTTATGGCATCGTCTGGTGAGAAAACTAAATAAAAGTTTTGCATCTTTTGTGTATTCCCATGTTTCTGATTTCATGATTATGTTACTTTTCTCTCCGGCTGCTTTAAAGATTCGATTTTTCTTTCTCAACTTCACTGCTTCTTCTGTTGCATTTTACCTTAATTAAGCTATGATTGGACCTTGTAATTGAGGCCTGAATAGTTGGTAGTGGATAAATCGAAAACTAGATATGCTAAAAATTGCTGCTGGAGAAGTCAGTCAATAGACTGAATTCAGTAAATCAGTGATTATTTCTTTCAATCATCTGCAATTCAAAAGGTTTGAATGTTTAGCTTTGGTGTTCATCTTCCTCTCATCATTCCCATTCTAAGATTAGCAACTCAAAATTTTGATTAATTTCTCAATTGAACACAATTGCTGGCTGGTTGATGTTAAGTTTGCGGGTCCTAAAATTTGATTATAGTTATTAGCTGGATTTCTAGACTTCTCTTTATGCTTTGAATGCATATGGTGAATGGTGAACACAGGATACCAGAGGTGAGCTGTATACTTCATAGTCTGAAGTTTTGTGTATCAAATATACTTGAGTATAAAGGAAAGTGATTAGCTAAATATGATCTCCGAGTTTAACTTTTTTTTTTTTTTTTTTTTTTTTTTTTTCAGTGCGGCTATAAACTCTGAGACGCGTGAGGAGGTTGCCATCAAGAAGATTGGCAATGCATTTGACAATAGAATAGATGCCAAAAGGACACTACGAGAGATAAAGCTTCTGAGTCACATAGATCATGATAATGTAAGTGTCTATGCAGTTATAACTATCCAAAGGCATGAACTTTGCTCCTGTATTATCATTTTGTATTCCAGTTTCTTTAATTTGTTTGAAGTCCATTTCCCCCAATGTACTTGATGGAACCTTTTTCGTTTTTCTTCAGGTAATTGCAATGAAAGACATAATAAGGCCTCCCCAGAAGGAAAACTTCAATGATGTCTACATTGTTTATGAACTAATGGATACTGATCTTCATCAGATTATCAAATCCAACCAGGGATTGGCTGATGATCACTGCCGGGTATGACCTGTTCCTTGCACTCTATAGATAGTATGCCACCATGGAAAGGGAAATTATCCTACCTATCAAAATCTCATTCTGCTTAGTTCAGAGTAACCTTAATATGTTAGGAGCAATTTCTGAAAGTTTTTTTTCTGGACCCTTTCTAAATGAGAAACAAAAAGAGAGAAATTGGGGATGAACCATGTGAACTTGCTATCTATAATAGTATAAAGAGCTGTTTTCAATAATCTTACTAGTAGTAAAGCTGTAGCAGTAGCAGAGTTAAAGCTCCGAATTATTTTTATTTTTTGCTTTATATTTAGAATTTATGAAGATTTCAATATTTTACAAACATTTATGGTTGTAGTTAGAGATTCATTACACACTCAATCCAATTCATACTTGCACTTGACACTAACAATTTGCGACAAGTATACTTTTTTGAATTTATTTTCATGTTTCATGAAGTTTTACTATATCTGCATTATTGACTCTCGGATCTTGTTGTTTCAGTACTTCCTTTACCAAATTTTACGTGGACTCAAGTATATTCATTCTGCCAATGTCTTGCACCGAGATCTGAAACCAAGCAATTTGCTTCTCAATGCCAATTGTGACCTAAAGATTGGAGATTTTGGGCTTGCAAGGACGACATCTGAGACAGACTTCATGACTGAGTATGTTGTAACTCGCTGGTATCGTGCACCAGAACTGCTCTTGAACTGTTCAGAATACACGGCAGCAATTGACATTTGGTCAGTAGGTTGCATACTTGGTGAAATCCTGACAAGACAACCACTTTTTCCAGGCAGAGATTATGTTCATCAGTTAAGACTTATCACAGAGGTATGGTACTATTGCCCAACACTGACATCATGGATACATCCATAACTTTTATAGTAACAAAAGTATAGTGCTTGAGAGAATTAAGAATGAAGTCACCATCATCTTCTTCTTTTCTATCCTGCCTTATATACGTATTTGGTGGCAATTGCTTTCCCAAATTTTGAATGTATTGCTCCCCAGTTCTCTTTGTATGAATTGAATTTTCTTCAGTTGTGCCAATTCATAAGATGTTTCTACTTCATGCTTATCTTAAGCTTGTGCCTTTGTCAATTTTGGCTCATCAATTTCTTCTATTTTAAACAGCTGATAGGATCACCTGATGATGCCAGTCTTGGATTTCTCCGTAGTGATAATGCCCGGAGATATGTTAGACAACTTCCACAGTATCCAAGGCAGCAGTTTTCTGCTAGATTTCCCAATTCATCTCCAGGAGCTGTGGATTTGCTTGAAAGAATGCTTGTGTTTGATCCTAGTCGGCGTATTACAGGTCTAGTGTAATTTTACTAGAATCTCTGGATATCTATTTTCAATCTTAAGTCATTTAGGTGGAGAGAAGTTTAGTTAACATTTTGATATATATGCATTTAGAAACTCAAAAACAGTGTGCATGACAATATTGGGAAGTTCTCTAGGCCATTTCCATTCCCATGACTACCTTTCCCTCTCCTCCCCCACTGATGTCCTGAAAAAGATGGATAAAAGATTTTTAACCAAAAGGGGAAAAATATTTGGTAGACGTAGAGATATTTTGGCTATATATATGCAATATATGTAATTCTGTGTCTGAAATGTAGAAATAGGCTTTGTTTGGTACCTAGCTTAAAAGCTAGTAGCTATTAACTTATTTTTAAACTTTACTCAGATAGCGTTTCAAAATAAACTATTATTTTAAGCTCCCTATGTTTTACAGAGCAGAGCTTATAGTGGTTGAGGCTTGAGCCTACCTCTATAAAATGAAAAATATAGAAGTAGGAAGAGAGGTTACTTTTTCAACCATTGGCTATCACTCCTATCCAGTGCATGATTGCATGGCCTTCTCCTATCCAGAGTGGCACAATGCTAGCTTTTAATCTGTTATCTGGCTTTTCTTGTTTTATTGCAGTGGACGAGGCACTCTGCCATCCATACTTGGGACCTCTTCACGATATCAATGAGGAGCCAGTTTGCCCAAGGCCTTTCAGTTTTGATTTTGAACAGCCATCCTTCACTGAGGAAAATATTAAGGAGCTCATCTGGAGGGAATCTGTAAAATTCAACCCAGATCCAGCTTATTGAGATGTGATAGCATGATATATACCATTACATTACTAAATCGAACATTGTATCAATCCTGAATCCTGTATGTATGCTGTAGAAGAGATTAGCATTGCGTTTGAATTTGTCATTAGTTGATTCTATTATCTTGCGTGGGTAGCCCTCATCTGAATACCAAGTCCTTCTTGTTCCTGTTTGGATGGTAGGAAGGATCAGAATACTTGTGTGTGATGGTTGCCCGTAATGCTCACCTTTTAATTCATCTTTGCTTTTCAGCACATTGACATTACATATATATATATATATATGTTGATTAGTGCTTTTGTAGCTTTCTTCATCCTCATTTCCCTATATGTTGAATGCTTTTTATAGTTTTCTCTGTTGTCTGAATATAAAACCGAAAAGCCAAGAGTTCATATGCATTAATATAGGATACCTTATAAATGTGTAGTTTTGGTGTGCACAACATATGTGAACTTAATTAGAAATATATATATTCATAGCTGAAAGTAGGAAGTTTGGTACATCATTACATTTATGCAGCTTATGTATACATATATTATCTGAGCAGAGGCCATAGAGGGTGATGGATCACTCATCAATAATATATTCTGTAAGAACATTTCTGGAACTCTATGTTTTCAATTTCCAGATTGTCTGCCGGAAAATCACACATTTCAGGCTTTTCCGAGCCCTGATCAGGCAGTGATTCGCAGGGTTTTGGAACCACTCCACTGGTAGTTCCCTGGATATCAGTACAGGTCCATGGATACTTTTTGGCCTTCTGTGCCATAGATATGGTGACATTGGACATGCAGATTCCGGTGAAGGGGTCGCCGGAAATCCCCTCCAGGCGGGCGGCCATCTTCACGTTGTCGGCCACCACGTCTCTGTAGTTGATCCCTTTGATCTCTGGCAACGCGTTGGGGTCGTAATTATTGTCGGCATGAGAGCCGTAGTTCCCCGTCATCCAAAACACCCATTTCATGGTGTGAAGCGTCATCCCCTTGACGTATATATCCTTGACGAAGCCGCCGCGGCCTACGGCGGTCTTGATCCTCACGCCGGACTCCGTGTTGATGGCCGTGATATCTGAGGCTCTAACGTCCTGAATCCCGCCGGACATTTCACTCCCCAGCGCTATCGCCGCGCTGTACGGCGAGATGCAGGTGAGTCGCCGGATGATCAACTGCTTGGTAGGCATGCCGTACTTAATACCGTATTCGTCCCAACCGCTTTTAACTGCCACACAGTCATCTCCAGATACTATGTAGTTGTCCTCAATCCTCACATTTGCACAAGAATCTGAATCCCCCCAAGGGCCAAGTACAACGTTAGAACATCGAAAGAATGTCAACTAAGGATATAAATTTGTAACCACAAAGTCATGAGTTACAGTTTGACTCCCAGCCTAGCTTCTTGGTTTGAGCCGAACTAGGCTGGTTTACCTCCTTGTGATTTTTTGCGAGTTATAATCACAAGGCAAGATTTACCCAGTGCACACTCTTGGATAGTAAACTAAACTAAAAATCATAAACAGAAAAAAGAACCTGGGTTGATTCCATCAGTGTTTGGAGATGTTACTGGAGCTATGATTGTGAGACCTTGAATGATTACATTGCTGAAAGGTGAAAAACACAGGAATTGAATTTAGTGTTATTACAGTTGCAGTCATGATGAAATGGGTAAATGGTAGAAGTTAAAAAGTTAGTTAGTTACCTGCTGTAAACAGGATGAACATTCCATGTAGGAGCATTAAGAAGGGTTAAACTTGAGATCTGAATATTATCAGAGTGCATGATTTCAATGAGATATGGCCTTGTGTATTTTAGCTTCTTCTTGTGAAATTGTTGCCACCAAAGTTCTCCCTGCCCATCAATTGTCCCATTGTTTCCTGACAACATCAAAATAACAAAAACATCAACAATAATATATTGGATGTTAGTTATGAAAAGTAAGTTGTGGTTTTATTGGTTATAATAACAGTAATTTACCTGTAATGACAACATCAGTAAGGTTTGAGCCAAAAAGGAGGCTGATGTATCTTCCACCAGAAGTGTCCCTTCCATGACCATATGATGGTAATGGCTCCACCACTTCCCAACTGCTTATTTCCTGAAATCAAAACTATACATTATCCCATTTATGATAATATTTATTTAGCCGGGAAAAGTCTACAATATTGATCGATACTAATACTTTTTGCACCACGTACAAACATGTATTTTTTATACTGGTACCCGATGCAAAAGGTACCAACTTTGATGCAAGTAATATGTGTTTATAGTACCTGAGAAGCAAGAAGAACAGCATCTTTGTCAAGAAAAAGAGTGAAATGGCTGGTGAGATTGAAAGATCCAGTCAACCAGCGACCAGCGGGGACAAAGAGCTGAGCACCACCCTGCTCTGCATACTGGCTCAACTCATTCACAGCGTTCTGAAACGCTTTTGTGTTGAGTGTTTTGCCATCCCCAACCCCTCCAAAATCTTTAATGGATGCAGAATGAGCCCTGCAGTTTATAGCTGAATACTCCAACTCATAAAAATTACTATTGCTGTTTTCATCTTCAACAACTCCTCCCTTAAACCTTATCCCCTCAACCCATCCTGGACTGCTTAAAGCCATCCCCAATAACACTACCACTAATGTCTTCAACATCTGCAAGAATATAATGTTAGTTAATGCCAAGAACTCAGAATTATTGTATATATAATATAGTATAATGAGGCGCCGAGCTAGCTAGTAGTATATGGATAATCTTACTTGGAATCTTGATGGCATTATAGGGAAGGAAGCCATTAATGGAGAGAGGTAGCTGAATTTGTTTGGTGGTGAAACATAAACAAAGTGTGTATCATTTTATAGGCAAAGTTGGTTGAGTGTTTGTTGAAGCACTTTTGTTTGAAGGTGAATATAGATTCTCTGATGTGGACAAATGCACAATTTTTATATATCTGATAAAAGACAAATTTCTTTTTCTCTTTGTTTCTTTTTACTTAATTTTAAGGGGAAAAAAAATAAAGGAGAGAGGATGACTCAGCAAAGACAAACCACATAGTACCAGTTTTTTTAATGATGAAATGAGAACACAAAATCTGTGCAAGATCTGCAGGGAAACTGTGGTAGCTGTGACTCTTTCAATAATCATATTATTATATGGTTTGAATGGTTAGTAGGGGTGATATTGTGAGATATGTTTTGTCTTAACTAAAAGTTATAACACCTTAATATGAGTCTCTAAGATCTAATTGAATGAGGTGTTATATTCTAACTAAAAGTCTAAATTAATAGTTAACAAAGGGATTGTTAATACAACTAAATTGAATTTAAATTAGTCAGATTCTACGAGCACAATTTAAATTAGTTTTATAATAGTGTGGATATAGTTTGAGTTGGAGGATGTGGAACCCATTTTTAGTTTTGTTGAACTTTTTATGCAGAGATGCAGAGTATGGGTTATTCAGTCTCGTGACACTTTCTTAACCCTTTAACGCCACTACTGCCGACCCACTTCACGGGCCATCATTTACGGGTAAGGTGGGACCGGGGCTGCCCATCTCTCTCTTTGAGATGAAACATGGAAGGGAAGGAATTGTGACGAGATGTGACACAATCATAACATTTAACATTTTAACATTACTAGGGTCTAGGCATATACAAACAAATGTGTTCACGAAATTAACCCAACACAACACAACACGCGATTATCAAGCGAAATAGAGCTCTTAACTCTTTTCGTAAACATTCTTATTTGTACGAAATGGAGAAGGGTTGGTGAGGTGGTACGTGGTTAGATGGCATTATGCTTTAATTTGCGACCACATATCTCTCTTTCCTCCCTCCACTCACGGGAATGGGATTGGAAGAATCTTGGGTGTGAAGTAAAAAAGGGTGATCATGTGATATTGCTTCTCTAAGTGTCATTAGTGGGCTTCCCACCTCACCACAATAACTTCACATCACCACCACTCATTGCTTTACTACCTTAAATTAACTACATTTATCAATTGTCTCATTCCCTTGCCTGCTTTTCAACTGTTTTTTTCTTTATGTCTCTGTGGAGTGGAGAATATACTCACTTCCTCCAATGCCCATCACCTATCATTATAATTTCTTTAATCAAAAGTTAACTAAACATAGACACAACTTTAAAAATTATTATTAAAAAAAAAAAAAAAAAACTCAATGGATTGAAACAATTGGTAAACAAATCAACTCTTGTATGTGTGCACTAACCGGGAAGAGTGATGTGTGGCATATTCACATTCTTTTGCCTGTGCTGGGTATCAAAATGCATGTTGGTTTGCACATGAAAAGCCTAAATTCAAGATTCAGAAAATGTTTCTACATATTCAGTGCAGGTCAGCTAAAGTAGCTCCATGTTGCTTGATGATACGGGCGGCTTGCAGAAGAATGTCCTGCTCTGTCGAAAACATCTTGTCCTTGCTCTGGATTTATCAGTAGTAAAAACATTATAAGTATTCACGATGTGGTTATACTACACAGCAATTAGGATGAAAGTATGGAAACATACCATATGTTCTAGATTGCATCCCAGAGTTAGTTCTGCGTATGTTCTTTCTAGTTTAGACAAGAAACAATAGGGCACCTCCTTTTCCAAGAAAACATTTGGATATAATTTCAGCATATTCTTGATGTCTTCTGATATTTGTGGGATCTTCTCAAAGTCTTCAATGTGCAAAGGAACTTTCGTGACCAAGGCACGCCATTGAGCACGTGATTTGTTCACTATAACCTAACACTCACATATAACAAACTATATGAACTTGCCCAAATTCTGCATCTTCTTTTGCACCCTTTAGGAGTTAGATACAGCTTGGATGATAAGGAAAATTACCTACCTGGCTAGTAAACAAGGAATTTGGAACAATAACTGGGAACTTCTCTGCAGTCAACAAGGACGTAGTTGTCATCCCCATTTCTACAACTTGACCTTCCACAGATCCAGCCTGCACAGATAAATTATTATTTGCATACTTAAATAAAGTAAACCATAGATGAGCACAATATGGCAAAATAACAGAAAATAAGTTAACTCGTGATGAATTCATAAAACCAATCAATAACTTCTTCAATTTCGATCGTTATTTTATTTACGAACACTAAACTCTTTACTTAAAAGAAATTACTATTCACTCTATAAGCATTCCATCAAGTTGATCAATCCAACGGCAATACAGAACCAGTAAGTATAAATATCTTAGGTCTTTGGCATCCTTCCAAACTAGTATTCCATAACTAACCTCCCACCCCTATTTTTCCAGTGGGAATTTAATACATCAGAGAAACTTTATATACTATGGTTGTATGGACCTGGCTAATTTAGGTTGTATTGAAAATTAATAACATTTACTTTCTCATAAGAATTCAAAAAATTCCCATATACCAGTGAGGGTTGAGGGCTATATAAACCATATTGTGATATCCAATCATCAAACTTCAAAAGACACTAGCGTTTGGTGCAAGTTCACATTCAGTCACATTTACTATGAGATCACAAGAGGTGAAGAATAAATTAAAAAGATCATTACATGTTTTCTGAAAAATGCACCAAATAAGGAAAAAATGATTTTACTCTGACAAATTGTAATCTATAAGACAATTCAGTGCAAAGGTAAACATAAGAAGTTCAGAAATCAGCATTAAGCAGCAAACTTATAGCATACTCTTATCGTATCTCCAACAGTAAAAGGCCGGGAAATCTGTAAAGACAGTCCACTCAAAATATTCCCAATGACATCTCGGGCAGCAAAAGCAGTAGCTATCCCTGCATACCAAATATATGAAGAAAGAAAAAGTTAAAGATTCATGTAAAAAAAAACTAATGAGGCACATTATATCACAATGTTTTTAAGAAATGAAAGCTCCCCAAAAAGGATTTGGACAATGTTATTCGTCCAGGAAACTCATATGAAGCTCACCTCCTACTCCTCCCACAGTCAGAATTGATTGTACTGGTACCCCACATGCCTCAGCTAACCCCATTATTCCAATGGCAAAGAGACCAACAGATGATATTCTCTCCAGAGTGAACAACCTGTCTCGATCACCCAATTCAATGCTCTTTCCGGCCAAGGCTCTACTAATAACATTTGTTTTCCATCTCTGTAGAAACCAGACAGAAGAAAGAATAACAGCACATTTCCAAGCTGGTATAATGTACTGTGATGCAATGCTGGTTGGTGCCACCATAGCAGCACTGCATGAAAAAAAATTGCAGCTAACCACACATTAGCACAGAAGATAATGACTTAAACTAAAGAAAAGCATGTGGCATAGCATTCTACTAACATTTGGGTAAAAGCCATAAAGGTGATCAGATACCGAACCGGACTCTCCAAAGCACCCCAGATGCTTTCTTCATAAGGTACAGGCCTCCATAATGAGGTTTGAGACAACAAAGCAGCAGGCCCTTCCATTGAGATCTTATGAAACCTCCTCAAAAACCTCGGCATAACCACCCAAGCCAGTAAAGTACATAACAAAGTACCACTAACAGGAGCAATAACGTCTCTCAGATATGGATGAGCATCAATCATTTGCTGAACATAAGGTGTCATTTCACTAGAAGCCTCTTTCGCCTTTTCTCCTGTAGAAGTCACAGCATCCACCACACCTTGCCAAGCTTCCCTTGCCTTCAAAACCCACTCACCTCCATCAGACCCACCTGCACTCATACCAGACTCACTAACACCAGAAATGGCAGGATCTGAGCCTCCAGGAGTATTCCGTTTACCACCTACAGATGATGAATACAATCGAGGACTCCAGGCAGGGATACTCCCACCAAAAGACACACTTCTTAAACCCCAATTATCCAATGGCCTACTTAAATATGAGCTCCCAATGCTCTTCCTTTGACTAGCAGTGCTCAAACCTACCACCGAAAAACATCTGGCAGCATAATCTCGGGAGGAATGTAACTCACTAGCATGGTAACTACGGTTTAAACAGGCGAATGAAGATCTGACATCAATACCATTCGCGAAATTTAAAGAGGAGTTGAGTGATCTTGCCAATCTCGAAAACTTAACGGCAGCCATTACAATTGCGTGCGAAGCATATATATATACGCACACCCAATAGAATAATAACACTAAACCAACAAGCTCAATCAATTCAACACAGACAAGAATAACTTCGTCCAAGGAGTTTCAGCACAATCTGCAAAAAGGTTGCCAAAATAGAAAGCAAAGAATCAGATTAAAGGATTATGTACAAATAATAACAAGCGCACGAACGAACCTATTGAGAGCAGCAGATGAAGCTGAGCTAAACAGCATCGTGGTTATCGACTTCAGAAATTAAAGACCGAAATGAATAATATGCAGTGACTTCACAACAAAACTCCCGCAATTCAATTTTATTCTTTTTCCCCTTTGAAGTTTCACCTAATTCGAAGACTTGTAATTTTCTATATCTATAAACTTAATAAAGTTTTAGACAACTAATTTTTTTAAAAAAAAAATCTAGTAAATAGTAATGAATCGAGTTAAGTATGTCAAACCAATAGATTATAACCATATTTAAAAAAAAAAAAAAAAAAAAGTTTTTATTAAAAATTGATCATTATTTTTTATAAATAAATAAAAGTTAAGCCAATAATTTTGTACTCTAGTGGCATGAAGTGGTTCCAAATGAGAAATTATAGGTTTAAGCTACTTGTGAAAGTAGTTATAAACATATAGTACATTGCAACAGAGTCGGTACTACTAACAAAAATAAAGTTTTAAAAAATAAAGTTTAAAAATTTCTAAAACAAATTATATACGGAGTATAATATAGTGACTAGAAATCTAGAATAAGTTAATACGGAGTATAATGGCAGAGTGTCGTATTCTAAAACTGTACTACATTGATTACATATGAGTCCTCAAGTGTAGAAGCTTTGTTGAAGCTAGGACGGACAGAAGGAAGCATGTATGACAACCTACTACAGTACATTTCTCAATCCCAAATACATACAATCATTTGACTGTACAATGTTTCTTCAATCCAAAGTTGAAAAGGGAGGAGGGAGGGGTGTGTTTAAATAGATTTTGAGTTGGCACCAGGCCTTAGGATTTGCTTGAACAGAGCCATCTTTGGTACATTCCAGTGCTCTACATGCCTGCATACTTTCCCTGATTCTTCATTGAAGTAATATTCTGTGTAACCAGTAGCTGAAAGAATGGGCTTCCATGGGAATGTCAAAACACAGCTAAAGCGCCAGTGTCCAATCGCCTTCTCCTGTGCACCCCACATATCAACACCACCAAATCCTTACCCTTAGTTAAGTTGAAGAAGAAGAAGACAGCATTATATTGTCAAACTGGATTAGAAATTACAACTCACCTCAAAATCCTCCCACTTCATAAGTTTCATGTTTGATTTCTCCACAAGGTACCCAAAGTTGGTGCAGTTCCTCTTGAATCTGCGCAGCCCTTTGAAGGACCCTGCCGGGTCTGCAAATTCACACTCCTCTTCATATGCATCCACAGTCAGGTTCCCTGAACATTATATTGAGTTATTGACCACACAAGTGGTAAGTTATTAATAATAATAAAGCAAATTTCATGTGTTCCTTCAAGTTCAGAACAGGACCTGTAACAAAGTATGATCTCAAGAAGTCATCTTTGATGGTATCAACAACCAGGGAACGATCAACCACTCCAGACAACCCATCGGAGGAAAGCCCTGCAATTCCTTCGGGAGCTTTAGTTTCTGTGGTGGTCGGAGACCGCAGAAGGGAAGCAGCAATGCCCAGAAGCTCAGAGCCATACCAAGCCGCCTTCAGCAGCACATTATTTTCAGGCACAGAGTCTTGCTTCGTGGACGAATTATTTGTCGGGTTCTTTGCATCACATCGCACTGTGTATGCTCTACTCGGACAATAGCTTTGCCGGAAAATGACACGGTGGTGACCTGAATGGAGGTTCGCAGTGGTAGCAGCAAAAGATGGAAGAGTTGCCATGAGAGACAGAGAGAGGGCAGTCAGCACTCAGCAGTAGAAATATCTCTGTCCCACAACAAACAATAGCCACAAATTTAACACCACATAACGTACACACCTGTACAAGATGCTAAATAAAGGCCCATTAAGTTTTACTGCCACAAAAACAACTTTATTCATTCTTCGCATTTCAAGAAGCATACACAAAACTACAACCTTAAATGTCTTTTCTAAATGATACTACAATCTTTCTGTAACAACATCAAACATGCACGGGCATAATGCAATAATTACTTTTCCTAACCTATTGTCTATATCACTCTGAACTACAAAAGCTCTTGTTTACATTCCCGGTTAGTAATTTTCAAGGTGTTCAGGGCACTGCAACGACCTCAACTAAGATGGAGTCCAGAAACGAGCTGGTGATTCTCTGAAAATCAAGTGTGTTTCATCAAAAGGCACAAGTGTCGTCTCAGCCTGGTATTAGCATATCATTTCGATGACACCAGGTAATATGTGAAATTTCCTGGGTAGGAACCCCAAAAATTCACCATCAGACTGGACATAAACATTGCCTTTGTTGCCAAGCTCCTCGACTTCGATTGAACATGCACTGAAAGCAAGACCATATGGTGAAGAACTGAAGACTTCTATTGGATGGTTAAGCAAGTAATGATATGTAAAATAATGGGGAAAAGTTAGATATTATTTGCATAGCAGAAACATACCTTCTTGAAATTACATTTTTCACTGATAGGTGTGTTCCATTGTACAGCTTGTGAAGTTTGAAAATGAAATCATACCACTTAAAATCTTGAAGAATAACGACCTGCATAAAGGAAGCTGCAGTAAATAGCATACCCTACGTGGTGTTCAACACCATTATGGCTAAAAATAAAGGGCTGATCCCACCTCAAAGCTACCACTTGATGGGTTGCCGTTTGGTGTGATTTTCATTCCACCACCAAAGTACTTTGCATTCCCAATGCATAAAGCAGTTACTTGAGAATATACTTCCCACTCACCATCATCAACCTAGATTAAGAAGTGGACAAAGAAACCCACAAATTTTTTACTTGATAAGTAAAGATGAGTAGGATACTATGAAATGGAATTCTTCTTAGTAAAGAGTAATTAGAAATGTGCAGGGTATTATTTGCAAGGGAGGTGCAGAGGGGACTTGATAAGTGAGCAAAAATACCAAACCTTGATCCTAAGATCCTGGTTATGGTGTCCAAAAAAAGCTTGCAAAGCACCAATAACATAACATAAATTTCCAAATTTCTTGTATTTTGATGCATGATAACCTGCCTTTGCACTTCTGCAAAATTTTAACAAAAAGGCAAGACAGATTGTCAAATGGAAGCATACCAAATAAAAGCTTAGTTCTATAACTTCATACAATTATCCTTACAAATGAATATCAGCAACATTGATGAAGTAATGTGGTTCTCCAATGACTCCACTTATAACTCCAACATCAACCCTACATTTTATCCCTAAAGAGCACCACTATTAGACCCACCATAGGAGAAGGTAAGGGGAAGGGGGAAATTTTGCAGTTCCATAGTAGCACTAGAAACTATAAAGACCCAAATGGAAAATGAGTATCAGAAGAAATGAGCTGAATATGGGATTAGAAATCACCTTTAGCAATCCGTTCTATGGCATCATGAGGATCATTTTTCCTGATTAAACAAACATGTATAAAATCAGATATTTCAAATCAAAGACCTAAGCCTAAATTAAGCGTAAGGTCTGATTTAAATAGAAGAGTAGAAGTTGTTCCAACTGACCAGCCAAATGTTCTGGCAAAGTCTGATCCAGTTCCTAGAGGGATGAGCTGTAGAGAAGGAAAAATGAACATATTTCTCTCAATAAACCATACTAGTGTCATTGAGTACGGTAACCTACTAACTAAATTACACAGTAAGTAATAATGCTCCCCTAATAAAAAAATAGATATGTGTATTATATCATGTTCCTATTAACTCACACCCAGAGCAGTTGAATGGATAGACTTGGGATCATGATCGGAAACAGGTTCACCACCCAAAAAGAAGCCATTCACAACCTGCAATTGGTTAAATATAGATTAGCTTCAAACTATCTTTATTCCATCTTATTGTGGTCTGTGAATAAACTACTAGTGCATACAGCATACATGAATAAATTAGAAATTCTTCTAGACTCTAGGCATATATCAGAAGCACCTCGTGCAGAGTTCCATCACCACCAACTGCAATCACAGCATCAGCTCCCTGGTGTATAGCCTGGCAATGAAATTCTTATTGAAATTTCAACATCCTGCATAATAAGTTCTTAAGTTTAAGATGCAGGTATTAAGAAAGCTACCTCTCTTGTTATGTCAATGGCATGATAGGGACCTGAAGTCAAAGATTCGCATATCTGGTAACAAGATAGAGGCAAAGTTCAATCGAAGTGTAAAGAACGAACAAAGGTAAGGGTAACCACAATAGAGTAAAAGAAACTTATGAAATTACACTTGGACATACTCCACAATGATGATATGGTCCTACTCTATTTGGTGCAGCTATTTATATTAACTAACACCAGAGTAACTCAATCCAAAACAACCTTAACCTTTCCTATGATCATTACTAAAGGAGCAACAGAAATTCTCCACAATTGCACTGTCAAAGATGGCATAACAAATTCAAATTTGATTTTTTTTAAAATCCATTACACTGTTTTGAGCTTAAAGTTCATCACTTTTTTTTGAGGAGTGAGAAATCTTGTGGTGATCTTTAATTAATTCAAGAAGGGTAGAACCCACTCTACCTTCAGTCTTTAAAGTTTGGCTCTTGATGTTTGTGTCTAATACTTTTGGCTGTTAAGAAGTTATTTCTTGAAACAGTCATTGCCATCATCATCAAGATTGGTTTTTTTTTTTCCAAACCATCATTGCTTCAAAAGTCAAAACTTAAACAGAAAGCATACTCTTTTGCTCTTATCATACGTATTCCCTATGCTAAGATTAAGCAAGATGATAATTTGCGGTCTCAAACAGCTCTAGGAAAACAAGAATCCGCAAGAAAAATTAGTGTGCTTCTAAAGACTATGTATGCCACAGCTTCGTAGAACTGAGTTAATCATCTTCGTCAAGTCACGTCACTAGCTGAGCTAGATTATATACAAACATGCAAGCAAATGATATCAGCAGAAGACTATGAAATCAGTTAACAAGGAAAAAAAATCGTAGAAAACTCACGTTATAATCACTACAGAGTCTAGACCTGAGGTAAGGTAGCAGCTTCTTCCATTGCTCACCGGTCTTTCCGTTAGCTCCTGTTGAAATATCAATAACAGAATAAGACCTAAATTAGAATGAAAGAAAACGAGCAGGGGGAATAAAAAAAGACCTCGTGGATTGACGACGAAGACGAGATCGCGGCGGGGAGGGGAGTTAGCGCCGCGAAGAAAGGTACGGCCGGAAGTTAGATCTTGAGGAGCCACTGGTTGCTCCGCTCTGATAATCGGAGGTTTCGCCATCATCGCCACAGCAATCCCGTGATGAAGCACCATTACCATTAACCACGCAATGCACAGTTTTTTATACGCCCATAAGATTTAGAAAATTCTTACCTTTTTTTTAAGAAGAAGATAATTCTTACTGGAGTACTATTTATTTTGTTCTTATCTATATTCTACTATACTACAAATTTATGATTGATTTTAAAATTACGGAAAAAAGAAATCATAAACGAAGTAGTTCGCTCCATTGTTACTTTTTTTTTGAAGGGTAAATATAAATAATTTTATTGGTAAAGCATGGTTATATTTTTAAAAATATATATATATAATTTTGTTGCGTTTATATCTATCTATATCTATACAACCGATTAAATAATGTGAAAGGTATACGTTGACAATCTTTACACATTTTAGCTACTTTCAACTAACATTTTGGTTCAACTAAAATGTAGTATAACCTCGTACATAATATAAAGCCGGAAATACGAAATATTTTTTATTTAAAGATAGGATAGGTGCAATTTATACACCCCAACAAAACTCTATACGGCACCATTTTCTATACTACACTATTTTCAACTACAGTATGAAAACCCTGACACCATAACTCATCACATTCACAGACAAACATGGATTGGGTTCTATAAACCTCCAGAGAGTATATAGCAGCATTATATGCACAGCAACTAGTTGACAATCTGTAGCCAGCAGCATTCACACAAGGTTGGCAAGAAGGTGTGTTTGTGTGTGTATCTATTTGCAATCCCACTATTGATTGTCCTTGTAGACGAGGTCATGTTCCCGAGGTTCTTGAGAGGAGCGCACCCGCCTTGTCCTCCTCGGAAACCGCACCATAGGACGACAGCAGTCTTCTCTGCACCGACATTAGCAGCAGATGACAAGAACAATTTCAGAAACACATTATTATTTATCGACTAGGATTTCTTTTGAATTTTAGAGTGAATAGGATGGAAGTTTTTACTTACAAAACCTTCAAATTCAGGGCTTACTAAATTGGCGGAGAGATTCTTCATCAGGATCAGCGCCTGTGAAGCAAGAAATGGAGCACATTAGTCGGACCGCTTATCAGTAATCGTCACACAATACAAGACAAGCACACAACTCACATCAAGTCCCCAGCCTCACCACTTATGATCATGCTTTTTGAGTAACTTCTATGTATTGAACTAGTGCAACTTCAATTGAAATATTGAACAAATGCATCATCTCAAGCAATAACTAACACCCAGTTTCTTGATACAAAAAAATAGCAACGGAGTTTTACAGTCCTGAATTTGGCATACCGTCTCAACATTTATGGGGTCCATCTGGTTTAGTCTCTGCAAGTGATCACTCGAGTTTGGATCAAAGATGCTGCCAATAAATTCGTACACTCGAGCGAAATCAGGAACAGCTGCATCATCCAATTAGAAATAAGCTGTTTAAGAACTCACCTCGCTGTATGTATAATTGTGCATTAAAGAAGTGAACACAGGCACACAGCAAGTCAGCAACAATAAACCAAATTCTATGTCTACATTATAGTATTATACAAAACATGCTAAAAGGGAAAATTATGGAGGGGAGAAAATAGATTGGAGCATTTATGTTACATTGCAACAGTATAGACTGACCTCTGATTTGCTTGTTTTGTTTATTTTTTCCATTTTCACTGGTTTCATTATTTGGGCGACTCCCATTAATGCTTTCATTACTGCTGCTGTTGCAATTTTGAGTCACAGTAGTACTCGTGAACCGTGCATCATCTAAAGAGGATGCAGAAATAATAAGTTCCATTGTGATAAAGCGCAATTGTCCCTTCAAAAAACTTACACTTCTGTTAACCCAACAGAATAAATAATCACATCCTACATTACCTTTTGTCACATGCGACACACTAAAAGTGGGGACATTATTGCAACTCCATGGAGATAAAACTCTGCTTCCAATTGCATTTGCAGGCACAGATAAGGAATCGGGACTGGTTACAAATCCAGGTTCAACTGATGAAGGTTGAAGCAGCCCTGTGAGTTGGGAAAGATGTATTGAAAGACTGTAAGAAACACTTCCCTAGCATGCATGAAAGGAAAAAATAAAATAAGTTAACAGGTGCCCACCATTCTTCGGGGCTTTTTGTGGGTATGGATGAGCTGCTTTCCTCTTCGGTCTTGGGGGAGGTACATGTTCATTTGCCCCACTTTTCTGGACCTTCAAAAAGTACTTCTGTGCATGACTGCGTATCTGCAAATATTACAAACATGTGGGTCAGCCTTGCATTCGTACTACAAAGATCATACATACATTTGTATAATGGAGACATGCAGTGATCAAACTGCTGTGCATAATTTTGGCATAGAAACCAAAAGGTACATGCAACAATTTTAAATTACTAGGTAATGATTAGGTTAGTGTTGTAAAAATCAGCCTAGATGGCCACCTAGGCGCTAGGCTGCTAGGCACCCCTAGGCTGATGGGATTTCACTCCTAGGCACTATCTAGGCGGCCGGCCAACTAGTCAGCCAACTCAGCCAATTGGCCGAGTTACTTATTTTTTTCAATTTGGTTTATTTCACTCGAAACAACATCGTCGTTTGGTTAATAAAAACCAAATTCAAAAAATCCCAATATGCTAAAACCCCCAAAAAAGGGAGAAAAAAAAAATTGCAAAAAATCGCGCACAGCAAGCCTCGCCGTCCCCTCTCCCTCGCCTTCCAAGTTCCATCGCCTCGCGCACAGCCTCACTGTAGTACAGCCACCCCACACTCCACAGCATCGTCGGCTCATTGCACAGCCACCCAGTCGCACAGCATCGCTGTCGTCAACTTGTCGCACAGCCAGCCTCGCACTCACAGCAGTGCAGCACAGCTCCACAGCCAAGCTCCTCCTCCGTGGCTGTCGTCGTCGCACAGCCATACCCCTTCAGGATTGCTTGAAAAGGTGTTTGTTATTTGTAGAAAGTGTTTTTAGCACTCAACGAATGTTTTAGCAAATGTACACTGCCTGTTATTTATACACTACCTGCCTGTTTTTTTTTTTAAATTGTTTCCCGCCTAGGCGGCGCCAATTGGACGCCCGACTAAACCCTAGTGCCTTCTTGGGCTAGTGCAGCCCAATCTACAAAACATTAACCCCATATAACTTTAGGTGGCTTCCCCACCCCATGAAGAAAAGATTCTTCAAATATACTTGGACAAGTACTTCTTAAACATGAAGGTGGATCAAATAGGTACTAAATGTGGAAGATTATATACCTGGATAACTGTCTTTGACCCAACAAAAGCTTCAATCTTTTTCCAATCCCGGTCAAACCTGAAAAATGCAGAGAGAAATGAGAAAATCTGGGTGAGTGCAATCTCCCTGACACAGAACTTTGAAATCAAATTATACACAGTAAAAAAAAACAAATTGAGCATATCCATAGTCTCAAATCTTGAACAAACCAAATCAAATCAAGTTTCTTAAGTGGGTAGGCTAGTGTAGTCAACATTTTAGTTAATTCCAGAAAACTCAGCCAATTCCATTGCCTCACATCTCTGATGGGTACACCCGAGGTCTTACCTTCGGGCTTCAGGTGTCAAAACCACCTCAGATGTGCCTCCTTAGTTTAATCCACTATAACTCCACACCCATTTTTCCCAAATAACTTCAAATTTTACCATCTACTACAACCCTTTTTAAGACTCACCACTGTAAACCAAGATTGCAAGCATTGCAACAAGCTGATAGGGTTTACTTTTTAAGGTTAAGAGAAACCTTTGCATCTTAGGCACCTCCTGATGCATTTTTCAAATAATGACCTTCCTTTCAATTTGTAATATGACCATCAAGAACACCACCACTTTGGAATAACCCATAAACAAGTTTATGAGCTACAATGGCCAGTCGGCAAATTTAAGATACTCATACTGCTTACACTACAAAATGCACCTCATTTAGTTAAAACTTAAGCATATAACTTCATATTGTTCTCCTTATAATAAGGATACATTCCCCATAGCAAAACAAAGAAACAAAAGAAATCCATTACATCCACTTGAGCTTGGTCTAGAGTTGATAACATCCAATTTAAGGTTTCCTAATCCCATACAATCACTGCAAAGAGAACAACAAAACTGAAAGAAAAATACCAAAAAGTTTGATTAACATGGAGGTTAAATTTCTTCAATTCAATTTCCTTGATTACTGATGTGACCGCAAACAATTGGAGTTTATGTCCGTCTCAGCACACATAGAATATTATGTATATGTATAGACAGACAGAGAGATAAGGAAACTAACAGCTGAAGGGCTTCGAGAAACTTGTCGTGCTCCTGCTCAGTCCAGCTCTCTCTAGACTTGCTGATGGTATAGGGCTTCCGGACCTTCTTATTCTGGTCATCCGGAGCAAAGCCTCCTCCTTGGAAATTCGGATCCCCAGAGGCCGTATGATTCACTGTCGTCGCCGGCGACGGCGAATACATCCCGGGAAGACCCGTTCTCGTATAGTAGCAATACGACTCTTGACCTGGTGGCGGATTCGGGTACACGGACACCATATATGATCGCCGGGTAACAACAAACTTTCAACTTTTCAGCTTTTTGTGTTGTGTTTAATCTGATCGATGTTGGTGTGTGTGTGCGTTGAGAGTTTGGGCGACAGAAGAAAGGTGAAATGAAGAGGTTACGTCTTTTTTCGTTTATATATCGAGAGAGAGAAGAGTGATGATGTACGCCGACTTTGTATTGAAGATGGAGGAAAGAATCCTAGCCGTACACGTTTCGAGAGGTTAGTGATGGAGATGAGAATTTCACCTTCATTTCAGAACAATTTATAATTTAGAATGTCCCTACTCTACAGAAACCAATCCAAGAAATATCATAAAATGGTCAACATCTCGAATAATGTTACCTAGGACCGTCGATACATCGTGTAGTACTATAATTTTATATTTTGGTGCAATGTATTTCTAGACTTTGGTAGTTCATGTCATGTATTTCATTTCCAACTTGCTAAAGTTTAAAATTGATTATAATAGATAAGAATATTCATTTGTTATTACTGAGCGTATCCGATCTTATTCTATATTGTCATCAATTTTTTTGGTAGATGTTTCACTAGCTCACCTAATTATTTTCAAGACCGGTGTGCACACCTAGTACGTGACAACCATTCATGTGCCACCTCCACTTCGTCTTGTTACCTCGATCAAAGTGCGTCACGCAAGTGGCACAACCAACGTGTTCTTCCATTATTCACGTGTCACGTGTCCTCCAACGAGTAAAGCACGATATGTGTCATAGGTAACGTATATAAAAGCATTTTATTACATAGCGAGAAATACATTTTAAAGAGGTAGGAATGTAGGAGATAGAAGCTTTTGTGGTTAGACTTCTCTTGTCATCTATTTCACTACCTCCCGACCCCCTTTCTTAGTAGTAGTAGTAATGAACAATTAATTTTATCAAATATATTTAAAAATCGATATTGCAATCCGTTGGTCAAATCCGCTAATACAATTATATAACCACTAACCGTTTATTTGCAAACAAGGCCAATATCTAACTCTTTTGGTAGATGTGACACTGTCCTCACATGATTACCTTCAAGACCAGTGTGCACATCTAGTGACAACCATCTATATGTGTCGCCCCACACCCGTATTGTTACCTTGGTCCGAGTGCACGCAATTGGCATAACCAACTTGTTCTTCCATTACGCACATATCATGTGTTCTCCAACAAGTAAAGCACATCATGTGTCATCGGGAACGCATACAAAAACATTTAGGCCCTGTTTGGTAAATGGTTGTTAGCTGATTGGGTTAATTAGCTATTATTATTTTACATATCATATTTATTATTTATTGGTCAAACAAATTTTTTCTTATTTATTTATTTATTTTCTTTAGTATTTGTATTTTTTTTTTTTGTGTTTACTTTCAATGTGATTTTGAAATATATAAATTTTATATATTAATAATATACTCCTGTTTAATGCTCTTGCTGGTCTTCCCTTTGACTCTGCGTTCGGTTTGATTGTAGGTGATTTAAAAGAATTGACATCATCTTTGTTTGATGTTAATTTTAATTTTGTCAAGCGATCTGCGAATCGTGCAGCCCACATTGTTGCTAGGGAGATCGTTTCTGAGTCAAGTTACGGGGAGTGGTTAGATGTTCCCCTCCCTTTTCTGGTTCGTTGTCTTGCTGATGATTTAATGAATTAAGCTTTTATTTAAATATATATATATATATATATATATATATATATATATACTTAATATTATAAAAAATAAATTAAAAATAACACTATTCAAACATCATTAACTTAACCAAACATATATAAATATGTGTACAATTTTGCTTTTGCTTTTTCTTGTTTTTGTCTTTTTCGAAGATTGGCTTTGTTTGATTTTTCGTATTGTGCTACATGTTGGCATCTCATCTCATCATCTATCAAATACATAGAATCAAAGATGCGGGCGTTGATAAAGCCACTCCTTCACTTCCGCTGCTCTAATTATTCTATCGCTTTCGCCACTTCTCTCACTCCCATTAGTTTACTCTCTCCCTCAACTATCCGATTTCTCCAAGGCTACTGTTACTCCTCCCCTGCGGCACTTCGCAAAGTAACCGCCATGAGCCGCGACAACTCCTCCGCAGCCACCGGTGACTATTCCCCGGACCACGTCGTCGGTGATTGGTTCTCCGTGCCCGAACTCAGGCTTCGAGATCACAGATTCACCGTCCCTCTCGACCATTCCCTAGATCCCCGTACTTCCGCTACCATCTCCATCTTCGCCCGCGAGGTCGTCACTGGTACACTCTAAGTCTTCTCACTGTTAGTTTGCTATTAGTTACTGCATCCATAGAAATGTTATGACCATCTAAGTACGTATATTGAGGTTTGGCCTTTATTTTTTTAAATTGAAAACATTTTGATTACTCAAATGATTAGATTCCACTATTCAGTAGTTGCCTTCGCATCAAAATTCTCAGCTAAACCAATTGTTAATGTTGCGATAGAAGTACTCTAAATGGCATTCTGAATGATCAATTCCTTTAATTTTCAGCTTTTATTTATTTTGGATGAGCTTTGTGAATGATTTTGTTTTCCCTCTTCATCTGGTCAACTATACCACAGCTGGAAAGGAAGAGCTTCCTCTACCATATCTGGTTTACTTGCAAGGTGGACCAGGATTTGAATGCTCAAGACCAACTGAAGCTAGTGGATGGATAAGCAAAGCTTGTGAAGAATATCGTGTGATTTTAATGGATCAGGCACGCCCCATCCATCCTTCTGTTTTGAGTATAAAAATTGAAACATTTCTACAGCTAATAATGTGCTTACACTGCAGCGAGGAACAGGCCTATCAACACCCTTGACAACATCATCTATGTCACAAGTGAAATCTGCTGAGGATTTGGCTGATTACTTGAAGCATTTTCGAGCTGACAGCATAGTCTATGATGCTGAATTTATTCGCAAGCGTCTTGTTCCTGATGCTGGACCTTGGACAGTTTTAGGACAGGTATCATCCGTAATGACCTTCAGAAATTGTTTTTGCTTATTTGTTACTTGTGAGTTGTCACTAGCCATAGTTAATTAGACAGTGAATATATGTTACGGTGATAGCTCATTCATTTTGTGTATAAAAATTTGGTTGTAACGTGAGTTGTTCTTTTAGTGTTGTGTTGTATATCGATGATAATCAGTCTACTTTTTGCTCAGAGCTTTGGGGGATTTTGTGCAGTCACTTATTTGAGTTTTGCCCCGCAAGGATTGAAACAAGTTCTAATAACTGGTGGACTCCCTCCAATTCAAAGTGGATGCACTGCTGACAGTGTATACAAAGCTTGCTTTGAGCAAATTGTTCTTCAGAATGAAAAATATTATAAGAGGTTTCCTCAGGATATTAAAATTGTTCAAGATGTTGTACATTACTTGGCAGAGTCTGAAGGAGGAGGGGTGAGGAAACTGTAAAATGTGGTTTATGTATGTGATAATTTGGTTAATTTCTCAACATATTTAGTATGCTTTTCTTAATTCTCCCTATTTTCGCATCTGTGTGGCATAGGTGCGTCTTCCATCAGGTGGCATCCTAACACCCAGAGGACTACAACTTCTTGGTCTCTCAGGTTTAGGATCTAGTACTGGTTTTGAACGCTTGCACTACATGTAAGTTATCATTCTTCGCCATTTTCTTTTGGAAACTCAAAGGTACACAATATAATTTCTCTTTTTTGATACAATAACCAATAGGTTTGAGCGTGTCTGGGATCCTGTAATAGTCCCAGGGACAAAAAGGAGAATCAGCTACTACTTCTTGAGTGCTGTAAGAGACTACACTCACTCTGTCACACATGGTGTTTTGTTTCTGTTAGGTTGTTTTTTATTTTTGTTTTCCAGCAGATTTAAGTTATGCAATTTTCCAAAATTGCAGTACGAAAGATGGCTGCCATTTGATACAAATCCTTTATATGCAATTTTGCATGAGTCTTTATATTGTCAGGTAACATTCACGGTACTGTTGAAATCTATACACATGATGTGGAAAAGATAATCTACAATGTGTTCTTGGTGTCTAATTTGTTAATTATATTTAAATTGAAGGGTGCCGCTTCAGAGTGGTCTGCTCACAATATTAGAGCTGAAAATGAGAGCAAATTTGATGCAATTAAGGCTGCTAAAGAGGGACGGCCTGTGCATTTCACTGGAGAGGTAAGAATGAACATCACATTGTTCTTGAAAAAAACAAAAAAAGGAAACCTGAAGAGATGAACAGGGTTGTATAATACTCTTAAGCTCACTTTTACAACTCTTATATCCAATTGATGCAATGCCTAAACAAACAAACTGTTATAGTGTATGACATTCATTGTTCTTGCTCATACCTGCAGATGGTATTTCCATGGTTATTTGACGAAATCCATGCCTTGAGGCCTTTTAAAGAAGCAGCAGAATTATTGGCGAAGAAGAAAGATTGGGCTCAACTCTATGACATTGCTACATTGAACAATAACAAGGTATTTCATTTGCTGTTGACATGCTTAAGATTTGACTCCAGACACTTATATTTTTGGCTGTTTAACACTGTCTATGAGCAACCCTCACAATTAGCCTTCCACAGACCAAAGTAGAATGCCAACGATGTAATAAGATCCATTGAAATTTCTCTGAGTAACCCTCACAAGTAGCCTTTCACCAGTCAAGATAATGTGAAATTTCATCTTCAACGATGTTGTATGCTGATATTTTAGAACACGTCTTCTATAAATGACAGGTACCAGTTGCTGCAACTGTTTATTATGAAGACTTGTATGTGAACTTTAAGTTGTCTATGGAGACAGCTTCTCAGATAGCGGGGATTAGGCTGTGGGTGACAAACGAATACATGCACTCTGGTCTGAGAGATGGCGGAGGTCAAGTTTTGGATCGCTTGCTGGGTTTGCTAAATGGAAAGAAACCGTTGTTTTGACCTGAGCGTCCGCTTTCCTGTCGGGTATGTGACCACTCAGATCTCTTTTCACTAATTACTTCCTACAGACAGAAGCTTACTGAAATGTTTCGTCTCTTATAGCCAGGACTCTCTTTTGGGTTTTGTTTCTTTTAATAATAATATATAAGTTGAGGTTCTTTGTCTACTGCAAACTATATTTAAGTGTCTAATAACTGTTCATTTAGCATAACCTTAAACATGTTTTATCTTAAGTAAAATCATACGAATTAGGTAAATGTACTTACCAGCGCAGCAGCAGGTAGATTATGGGATGGGTTGTCCTATTTTAATAGTGTTAGTTGTTTGTTAGTTAACCAATAATGATCTTCGAAAAGCACACATAAATATAATATGTGATGGTGATGATGAAATAGAGTTGACATTATCATAGAGAGTCAATTATTTTGATCATTACATATATATATACGGAGTAGCATAAACTGAATTCATCCATCTCCCACTAAACCTTCCAAAAACTAGTACGCAAACGCGGAAAGCATGCCTTCCGGATTAATGGAGAGAGATCAGATATGGCCGTTAGCTTCGGGGTCTGACCGTCCAAGCAGCGACGACGAAGAATCGCAGCGTTCAAACACAAAGGAGATCCATCGGAAACGGCTCACAAGAAAGTGCTGCGGTTGCGCCGCCGCTCTACTCCTCGTCGCGGCCGCTTTAATCGTCACCCTCATCTTCACGGTTTTCAAAGTAAAGAACCCCGTTATCACGCTCAACGGCGTGAACATTGAAAAGTTGGAGTTCCTCAACGGCACGTCAATGCCTAAGCCCGGTTCCAACATGACACTAACGGCCGACATTTCCGTTAAGAATCCGAACTACGCATCGATGGAATACGGCAACACGAGCAGCAGCCTGTTGTACCACGGGACGGTGGTTGGCGAGGCGAGGGGTCCGCCGGGGACCACGAGAGCGCGGCGAACGGCGCGGATGAACATTACTGTGGATATCATGACGGACCGGATCGTGTCTCAGCCAAGCTTAAGTGGGGATATGAGTAAGGGAATGCTCACCATAAATAGCTACACCAGAGTGGAAGGGAAAGTGAAGTTTTTGAAAGTGATAGAGAAGCATTTGGTGGTGAAGATGAATTGCAGCGTGAGTTTGAATGTGAGTAGCAGACAAATTCAGCATCAGGAATGCGAGCGCCGAGTCCAGCTCTAGATTCACCCTCCATATCTTTTATTTCATCTACTATTTGTTAGTTTTTTTTTTTTTTTTTTTTTTTTTTTTTAATAATAAAAAAATCTATTATATAGGCTAAAAATTCATCTATAATTGCATTATTTTTTCTAGAAGAATACATTTAAGTTTGGACAACTTCAGTTAGGATGTGAGATACGAGATGTTATAAAACACAAGATTATAAAGTTATTTATACTTTATCCAAATTACTTAATACCTTGCAAGTAAAATGAACTAACATGGTGCTAGATGAAGCAAGAATGCATTCAAACAATTACGGTGACCTATCACCTATGTTTGTAGTATTGAGGCTTGGGTTAGGGAGTTACCTGGTATATTTTTAGACTTGGACTTGAAGCCAATCATTCAAAAAATTATATTCAAAGATTAAAAAATGGAGCAATTGAATTTTCTTGAACCCCACCAGCAACAACATATAATATAATGAGATGGAGGCAAGTAGTATAGTAGATGAGCGGACTGAAGTCAGCTGAGGTTGATCAACTAAATTGGATTATTGGATTATTTTAATTATAATTAGTGGATTCTATATTATTTTCATATTTTGAACAGGCAAATTAATCAATAATTAAGTCCAGATGACCTAGATGTGAGTTGTACCAATTACCAACCTTTTATTATAATAATAATAAATATTATTATTATTTTGATTTTGATAATTAAAAAAATAAGATTATGAAGTAGAGTAGTTTTGTAGAGTGTGTGTGATCCAAAGTTGGAACACGGAGTGCAGTGTAGAGACAAGCTAGGTTGTAGAAAAGTGAAGCAGCGGACAAAATGGTTGGGATGCAGCTTTGGTTTGACAATTAAGAATAGTACAAACAACTCAACATTGCTTTTCTTTCTTTCTTTATTTATTTCTTTTTGTCTGTTTAGCGTAACATTCTCCTTCCCCTGTTCCCACTTCACATCCATCCTCAACACCATTTCATGCATATTCAAACTCTCTTTTTTCTTTTTTCTTACTATTTATACATAAATAATAATAATGAACATAATCCCTCTCTCAACAAATTGCTTAATTACCGACAAAATCTAAAATCTTTATGATATTATACTCCGTAATATTTATTGAATTGAACGTTGACTTCAGATGTATGTATAATGTTATGCATTGAATCAACTTTTTTAAAGATCGATATCACATTTTAGATGAAATTTATGATTAGAATTAGACATTGATGTGGTCAATATTATTAATTAAGATGATAATAGGAGATTAGTTGTAAGAAAATAATAGGAGATTAGTTCTTGTATTATGTGGAGTGATGAGAGATAGAAGAGAAGATGCATTGATGTTAGGCATTAAATGAGGTTCTCTGCTTTCCCAATAGTATTAAATGCAGCAACTACACACCCCACCCACCTCTCTTTCTTCTCCCTTCTTCACCCTTCATCTCCCTTTCTCCTCTAATCAAATGGACCATTTCACCCTTCCATCATCATCATCATCTTCTTCCACTTCCAATGACAATCCCCTCTTTATACGCCGCCGCTCCTCCTCCTCCTCCTCCGTTAACAACCGTCAAGCCTAATTCTGCCCCCACTAACTTCACCACCATCGGTCTTGGCTACGCCATCGCTATCGCCTTTGGCTTCCTCGTCCTCTTCTCCACCGTCCTTCTCGCTTCCTACATCTGCTGCCGCTCCATCGCCGCCCGCCGTCGTCGCCGCCGCCTCGATGCGGAAGCTGGGTACCGTAATTCTCACCCGGACGACAACGGGGTGTACCTTCCGCGTATAATCTTCGTGGCGGAAGACGACGAGGAAAACGACGGCGTTTCTGGGCAAAACGTGGCCCTTGGGCTGGACCAGGCGGTGATCAACTCCTACCCGAAGCTGGTGTACTCCAAGAGGAGCGGGAATCCGGGTGGGACCACCGGAAATGACACGTTGTGCTCCATATGTCTGTGCGAGTACAAGGATTCGGAGATGCTGAGGATGCTGCCGGATTGTAAACATTACTTTCACGTGACCTGCGTGGACGCGTGGCTGAAGCTGAACGCGTCGTGCCCCGTGTGCCGGAACTCTCCCTTGCCGACGCCGCTGTCCACGCCGTTGTCGGAGGTGGTCCCGCTTTCACACTACTCCGATGGACGGCGAAGGCAATGATTATGGATTGATTTTTGGTTAGTGTAGGAGGTTGAATTATTTTTGTTTTTTGAATTCACTGTGGAAATTCTTGTTATTTAGTGGTGTTAATTAAGGAGGAGATTGATTGATTGATTAAATCCAATATGTTGATTGAAGAATACACAATATAATGTACCAAATTCATAGCAGTAGCATAGGGAAATTTGGGGGTATCGAAAGCTACAAATTAAAGCCGAAATGTTTGAAGAAGCGAAAGATTTGGGTTTGATGATTTGGTAAGAGTCAAAAGTTGAAAAAGTAGGTACTTGTCTTTTTGGGTCGAGTCATCCACTGTGCTTTGCTTTGCCTAATGTTGTCTCTCTGTCTTTTCCTAATTCACTATTATTCTATTCTATATTCTATATTCTATGCTATGCACTCCGGTCAAGTCACAAGAACTATATACTTCCTGCCTTTACTCCCATAATATGCCCCCCACCCCTGCTCGTTGCTTTCATTATTCTCCCAAATCTTTTACTTGATATAACCAACTTTTCTTACTCCCTATTCACACATCCATCCTTGATGTAACCAGTTTTTCTTACAACCACAACATAAAAATGTCATCCATATTCTTGCCAAATCAGAAAATTTGATTTAAGAGTTTGCATATATTCTTTTTTTTTTTTTAAAAAAATAAATAAATAAAATAAAATAAAGGAAGTTTGCATATATAGAACTCAATTCAATTCTATCATGCAATACAGTGGTGGCTGTGATCGTCTCGATACATTGTGGATGCTTCACTGTTTGGCTAATTGCTAGTAGTAAAATCACAAATTCTATGCTTTCTTTTGTTCGTTTTGCTTCTTTTCTTTTAACTCTTGCTCATACTTAAAAATCTATCACTAAAATTGTAAATACCCAAAATATCAATAAAAATCTTTCACTAAAACACAAATTAGTATAAGAGCAGTGCTACTACAGTCACAATAAGGTGTAGTGAAGTTTATTAACATTAAACTTTGTAGCTTAAAATAGTCAATACAATAAATAAACTACTAATGCAACTTTACAGGTTCATATTTGGTCCGTCTCCTTGTTTTACAATGAGTCAGTACAGAAGCACTATGCTCCTGCAAAAGTCAAAAGTGGATGGGCTGATATGATATCTTGGTTGAAGATAACATGATTTTTGTTAGTTAGGCGGAAAGAGATGAATGGTACAATGACATGTATTCCTTCCTTCCATGAATGAAAATAATAAAGTGTACATTTGGAGCATTCCAACAATAAAATTAAAAAAAAAAAAAAAAAAAAAAAAAAAAAAAGAGGGAACATTTTGAGAATTTTTCTTTTACGGCATTGAAAATAAATGTTGTATTGTGTAATATCCTCCTCCAGTCCACTCCATTCCACTCTACAAAAAAAATTTGGTTGAACAAAAGAATTACATTACTACCACATAAAACCAAAACCTTTCTTTCTTCCTTTCGTTGCCATTAATTAATTAATTACACTGTACATTGTTAATATCTTGGGGGCGGCCTTGAAAATTGATAATTTGTTTCGGATGAGGTGAGAGGTACAGTTGAGAACTCTGAATCTGAGTGCTCTGCTAACTGGAAGCTCCCTCTTGAAGGAATCGAGCTCCGACTTTGATTTTGGTTTACAGAAGAATTCAATCCTCCTCCTGCTGCGCCATATTCTCCTTTCTGCTGCCCATTGCTCGCTTCTGCAGCCTCTCTCTTCTCCCTTTCCTCCGTCTCCATGAGAAGAAAATCGACCCACAGATCTGCAAACGACTGACAAACACAATACCCCCCATCATTTCAATATCAAACTTTATGTTTATTCACAGCTTTACTGTGGCCATGGAACAATTATGATCACCTGGTTATCTGGAGCCATATTGGCAGGGCCTGAACCTCCGCCTAATATGCCACCTACTATTCGGCCTGGGAGACCAAAGACACCCCGGACAACACCTTTCCCTGATCCTTGTTGTGCAATACCCATTCTCTGCTTATCTTCATCAGAAAATCCCAGCATGCGAACCATAAGATCCAGAACCTAAGAACATAACAAGTTTATGACATATTCATCAGAAAAACGACAGGTGGTCTTGAAGATAACAAGTTTATCCCATTCTCTGCTTTAATATTGAATGCTGAGTTCCACATCAACACCTCATAAGATATCTATCCCACACAGAAGAAGGGAATAACCCAGCATGCTTAAATGACCTACATACCTCTTTGCTGTGATTTCTTTGGAAGTAGGTCACTAATAACTTCACCACGATTCGCCTGCAACATTACAACAAACTCACTGGAACTTAAAACAACATTGGAAATACTAATACAAAAGTCATTGTATTCTAATACTGACAGAACCACAGCTGTTATTTTACCAATATTCAAGTGCCACAGGTGCAGAAAGGTAATGATAGTAAGTTGTATAGAGATAAAAAGCATACAGAAACTAACCTGTCAACATAATTGTCAGAATCTAAAGACATCCTGTTTAGTCGGGTCATGCTCTGTTCAAGAGCACGTCGTAGTTTTTCATTGTCTTGCTCAAGTTTATTCATCCTGTTTTTCACCACACTAAACCTCTCCTCTGCTTCTGAAAGCTTGGCGAGTACTTCTTCCTTCTCCCTGGTCAGGGTTTCAGACTGCTGATATGCATCCTGATAAATTCATAGACACCTTTTACAATTGAAATAAAAAAGAGACTGGTCCAAAAGTTCACAGTAAATCAAGGATGACATGAATTTCCTGATAAACATGATCATGACTACCAGAGGTGAGAATATTAAAATCACAAGAATATTCAAGAACAGCCCTAAAATCTTTGACTAACAATATTTGATGGAGGAATAAAATCTCTATTCTACTATAATAATCAAACATGAAATTCTTTAGGACCTTTAAAAGCTCAGAAAGTCTAGCTGATTCTTCCTTTGCTGCCATCAAATCTTCGGCCAGGCGTTCCTGAACACAAAATTGACAATGCCGTAAAAACCACAAACTTCTTCAGATACTTTTTTGGGTCCATAATGTTAGACTGTTAGAGAACACTGAAACCAAATGGAAGAATAAGAACAAACAATAACAGTCATAAAAATTAGTAGTTCCTCCATCCCAATTTAAATGCCAAAGTTTCTTTCCTTGGCTGTATGAAAAGATGCTCAATTTCCTAAAAGGAAATTCCAAGCAGTAGATGTTAGTTAGCATAATCCACGCAAATGAGTCTGCCCCAAACCACAATAAGTTAGATGCAAGGGGGGAGCTTAGGATGGAATTTACCTTAGCTTCAATTTCTGCATAGTACTGACCAAGGGCAGTTTGCAGGTTAAGGACTTCGATGTTCTTGGCTTCTATAGTGTTCAAACAGCTTGCTACTTTTTTATTCAGCTCATCAACTGTTTCCTTTGACTTTTTTAATTCACTATCATTAGAAATCTTAATTGCTTCTAAACTAGCAACTGCCTGCTTAAGCGCTTTCTCCAAGTGCAATATCTGAGCTTGTTGGTATTCACTATTTTGTCGTAGTTCTTCAATAACTTTGCTGTCTTCATCCATTTTCTCTGATTCTTCAGATTCCTGGAAACAAGGCAGTAAGATCCTCATTTTCTTCATGTAATTAATATCATGTAAGAGGTCCGTAATTGTGGAGTAGAAATGATAGCTTTATCAAGGATAAAAGATTGAAGTATTAGGACCAAACACCTATCCATTTTATTATTAGCTTAAATTGTCCCGTATTCATAATACTCAGTGAGTGGACAAATCACTAAAAGAAAAATGATAAGGCTCCTTACCATATGATCAGAAAGTCCACATCATGGTCCTTTGGCTAAATGAAAAGTAAATGGAAAGAGCATAGTGGGAGGAGATTATGATTATGTTTGAGACTAATTCATAAAGGCATAAAGCATAGTTATCCTATTGCATACTGATGATTTTTTTTTAAACCATTCAAAAAATCAGTACTTCTATAATACACCAAAAAATAATAAAGAGGTAGAGATGACCTTCTCTAGCAAGTGCTGCTTAAGACGGTTAAGTTCTAGTAACGCTTTGTCCTTTTCTCTTTGTGTTTCCTTCAAATCATTTTCAAGCTTTTGCAATGATTTCTCCATTGCTTCCTTTTCTGGAAACGCTGCTGATGACTGAACCTAAAATGGCAAAAATACCAAATAGGTTATCGAAGGAGGTTGAATTGGGATGATAAGAATATAGTCACCTCACTTTATAATATCTAAAGGTTGAGCATACCCACCTCATTACCACCAGATGAACTAGTCACCGCTGACAAAAGTTTGGATTCTTTCAAGGAAGCCTCCAATTTATCTTTATCATTCTAAAACAAATAGAAGATATCAGAGCAGGTTGACAGCCAAGCCTTTTCTTACCTTACAATGGTTATGAATGCAAATGCACTATAAAAAAATCTAAGGTGAACTTAGAAAGAGTCAATTGTGAAGGATATTAACCTTGAGATTGTTATTTTCTTTTTGCAGGACACCTATAACTCTCTTCAAATCCTCCACTTCTTCAACTGCTTCTTTATTATCTCTTTTATGAAGGTTTATTCGCAGCTGCTGGATTTCTGCAACTTTCTGATTCATCTCATCATGAATTCTTGCAACCTCTGAAGTCATCTGACACAAAAGTACACAGAAAAAAGAAAGATTGTGAAATTACCATATACTCTGTACTTCTGTAGAAGACTAAATTGCATTTAGCTGTTTAGAGGTGTGAAGAAAGGATTCATAAAAAGCACTAATTCTTATGTCACTGATGAAATTAAAACCAACTAAAACCATGCAACAGATGGATAATTTAGTAAATTAGTATAGTTGCAAATTTTCAAGTATGCAATTTAAAATTCATGGATGTCAATATGACAAGAACCAAATTGTAACACAGTAGCCAGAGATGTGTAGACAGGCAATCAAGTTAGTTACAATACAACAAATAGACATTCCAATCCACACACACGCACACACAAAAGCAAAGGAAAACAAATAATAAGCCAATAACAAATCATTTCATATGCAAAAGTGCATGTATTAAAAGGCAGAGATCTTTATTGATTCTATGGTGTCAGAACTTACTTTGTCCTTGTCAACTTTTAGCGAGTTCAGCTCCTGCTGAAAAGATGCATTCAA